AACATTCCCTTTCCTTTCCTTCCCCACAACAAACACTCTGTGAGGTGAGTGGGGCTGAGAGACTTCAAAGAAGTGTGACTAGCCCAAGGTCACCCAGCAGCTGCATGTGGAGGAGCGGGGACGCGAACCTGGTTCCCCAGATTATGAGACTACCACTCTTAACCACTACACCACACTGGCTCTCAAAGAGGATTTGTGCACAGCCTCCTCTTTCTTATTGAAAGAAATATGACAGATAAACAAAGCATTAACTGCAGGGGGCAGAGGAGCACATTGTGCTCAACTTGGACTTTGGGGTCCATCTTTTCAGATATATGTCATAGATCATAGTGGATTCTCAGAAAGCTAAAACTTCTTACAGTTACTTTGCTATAGTCCCAGAACACAGGGAATATGAAGACGTTATTTATAATTTTGTAATAAAAATATAATTTATGAATACTTTTTGCCTTTTAAACTGTTTTCAAAAAATGATTCCAAAAATGATTCCAAATTTCTCTTTGCAGAAATGGAATTGTACAGTTTATCAATTAAGAAGGAAATGTTGCAGGAAATGTTGGAAGCCAACCAGAAAGAGCTAGAAGAAGCCCAGGCTCTTGCAGCTGCTGAACCAGGCAGTGTCAGTGGTAGGTTTGCTATGATTTATCGAACTTGCAAGCAACCATTATACACTTTTAGATACTTAATGCTTCATTAATGTATATCAAAGTTTGGTCTGATATAGTGTGAAATTATTTTTAGAGCATAAACTACAGGAGCTTGCTGAGCAAAGAAAAAAACTGACTGCAGAAATAAAAGCAACAGTATTCAATATTAAAAAAGCACAACGCCGGGCTTCACAAAGAGCTGCACTTGAAGCACCTGCAGGTATGTATGGTATGAAAGATAAATAGTTTTTGAAATGCACCTGCTTCAGTGTTGCAAGCCCGATCGTCACTGTGGCTGTCAGAGACAGGAGACACCTTTCCATCCTGCATGGATTGCACTACAGCAGAGAATTAAGAAATCATCAGTGAAATAGTTACAATCTAAAAAACAACTAAAAGTTAAGCTAAACTTCACAATTATAGCAAAATACATATTATATGATTAACAAATCTATATGGCATTTATAATCTGTAAAACAATGATAACATTATCAAAAGGGCAACTAAAAAAAATAAGCTAAGCACTGTTAAGTTCATAACACACTCCCTACTCCCCCATGACTCACATTCTTTCACTCTGTTCAGTTCATTAAAGTACACATAATTCCCATGGTTAAGCCAGTTCAATCTGATGCTGAACTGGGTAGTAGGCACTGGTGGAGATGGTAGGGCTCTCAGGCCTACTGCCAATGGTAAGGTAGATGTTGACTCCTAATAGCCGGACCAGGTGCTGTTTATGAGGAACTCTTCCACGTCACTCTCAATATTTAGGAAGTCCATTCCCACTCAAAGTCTGAGGTGAGCCTTTCCCTCTGGAGCAATGAGTCATGGCTGCACTCAGTGTAGAGGCTGACCAGGAGGTCTAGCAGTGCTTCCATTCTCAGGCTGCTTTCACTGCACTGCAGCCTGTCCACCAACTGCTGCTTTAGCTTCTTTACTGACATGGTGGAGGAGAAGGCAGGCACATATGTGACTTACAATTTTATGCTGGATTTGAGGGGCTCCCTTGTGGGTGGGGTGAAGAGGATCAATAAATATTCATATGATGAAAAAGTTGATTTATCATTTTTATGAAATAAGGCAGCTTTTGAGAATCTTTCTTTGTACAGTGGTGCCTCGGGTTACATACACTTCAGGTTACAGACTCCGCTAACCCAGAAATATTACCTCGGGTTAAGAACTTTGCTTCAGGATGAGAACAGCAATCGTGCAGCGGTGGCGCAGCGGCAGCAGGAGGCCCCATTAGCAAAAGTGGTGCTTCAGGTTAAGAACAGTTTCAGGTTAAGAACAGACCTCCAGAACGAATTAAGTTCTTAACCCGAGTGTAATGGGCTTAGGGGTTGCTCGTGCGTAAGTTGGCGCCACTCCTGGCTAGGTTGCCTGGCTGAACCCTTTCTGACTGAACAGCCTCCTGCATCGTGACTGTCTCAGTCGCTGGCAGAATCCGTCAGTGGGCGTTTCTTGAACCTTTTCCAGCATAAAAGCTGTTTGACACCAAGTCTCCTACTCTCCCTGCGCGGAAGTCTTCTGCGCAGGGAGGGTGTGGGCAGCGGAGTACCCGTACTCTCTCCGCTGGTCTCCGGCGAGGAGTCCTGGAGCCTCCTCTCCGATTCCCCATCTGCCCCCCTTTCTCCACTGGTGTTACGCTGATTTCCTTCCCAGCAGATGGGCTGCCTCTCTCTCTACTGGACCCCTCTCCAGCATCCCTCTGGAGGCCTTCCCTCCGCCTCTAGCTCCGATGGCAGTTCCTGACACGAGGTACCACTGTATTACAAGCTTTTGTGACTAAGTAAGGATGCCTTGAATTTCCCCCAAAAGATAACTAAAAAAACATTTCTGTTCACAGAAAGAGAATTATTTGAACTAGCTGTTAAGAAGCAGCTTTTACAGGCCAACTTGGAATCCAATTGGAAAGAGCTCCAGGAAGCTCAGGCTCTTGCAGTTGCTGAACCAAGGCAGTATCAGCGGTACGTTTGGATGTGGTTTCTCATGTTATCAGCTACAGTTTTAAAATGTAAATTTAAAATGTGGATTTAAGGTATTTCTTACAGTTAAGATTGTGTTCAATTTTAATGGGGATTTGTGTGAGTGTAGAGGATTGTTTTTTCCTATAAGACTTGCATATTCTAATATGCTACACCATGTCAATAAGGGCCATTGCTTGTTTGTATACAAATGTATTGTGGTTCAAAATAAAAGTTTAATCATCAAAAGCCAGGTTTTAGAAACCATATTTATCGATACTTATCAGAATAGGTTTCTTGTTAAGAATAATGATGTTACAATTCAGTCTCTCTGAAACAGTTTCTTCATATACATCTTACCATGTAATATTGTTTAATATTGATGAGTCTTTGAAAGCTGCTCTTATTACTGAGATAAGGTGCATGACTTAATTTGAGTAGCTAGCACTATAAAATGCAAATACTGATATTTAAGATTTCCAGTTAATACTGCATACCAAATTGCATAGTAATATTTGGTGTAGTTTTAAAGCATACGTTATTATTTGTAATGTGTTGTTCTTTAATTATTTTGTAGAACATAAACTGCAGCAGCTCATTGAGCATTAGAAGACACTTGACTGCAAGATCTAAATGAAACTATACATGATATGCAAAAATGCTGAACGACGTGTTTCGGAAGGGGCTCAGCTGAAACAAGTCCCTGGTATTTAATGATTAATATTATATAGTTTATATCACCGTATTCATATTGCCTCAAGTGTTGCAAGACAGTTGCTTCCCCTGTCACCAATGTAAACATCAGAGGAAGAGGAGACATAAACCATGTATCCTCCCATTGTTCCTGATTCAGTTTTAAATCTTGTTAATAACTTTGCAGTTTGCAAATGGTATATAAACCAATTATTAATGATTAGTTAATAAATTCACTAAAACAGAGGTGTGACAGAGGTGGTCTAACCCTCAGGTTTGTTTCAAATTTTATCTTCTGGCAAGATAATTTACTAGGAAGTGCTCACTTTCTCCCATTCCTCCTTCATTTCAGTGATAAATATGTATGTGAAGTACACTATGTACATTAACCATCCTGATTCCATTCTGCTGCTGCTGTAACAAAACATTAACTTGAAAAAAAAGAGGGTGGACTTTGTGCTCCCCTCAGACTTCCTAAGGAGCCCATCTTTTCACACTTCTCTCACAGATCATCATGGTGGATTCTCAGAGATTTAAAACCTCTTGAAGTTTACTTTGCTACATTTCCCAAATCAATTTTGTTTAACTCCTTCACTTTGTCTTGCAATAGTCATTGACAAATGAAGAAGTCATTTGTAATTTTAAAAGAAAATTACCATTTATGAATACTTCTGCATGTTATCCAACCCTTTTGGATTTTATCAAACCTGATAAGGAATGATCACATTAAACTGTTTTCAATAGATGATTGCAAACCATTTCTTTTTGCAGAGATTGAATTGTATGAACTGTCAGCAAGAAAGGAATGTTGCAGGAAAAGTTGGAATCCAACCAGAAAGAGCTAGAAGCAGCCCAGGCTCTTGCAGCTGCTGAACCAGGCAGTGTTAATGGTAGGTTTTCTGTGATTTTTCATACTATGAATGGCTTGACTTATACCTCCTTCTTTATAAATTATTTTATTTATTAGATTTTAAAAAATATATTATAAAAACATATAATTTTTTAAAAAAATTTAAAATTAGAAGTGACACACTGTGTTTATGAATATGAAGTAATTCGATCATTCAACTAGCATATAAAATTAAATATTGCTATTTAAAATTTGCTTGTAATTTTACATACTAATTGCACTGTTGTTGTTTTTAGTAATTTCAGAATATATTTAAATTATCTGAAATTATTTTTAGAGCATAAATTACAGGAGCTTGTTGAGCAAAGAAGAAATTTGAGTGCAGACCTAAATGCAACAGTTTCAAGTATACAAAAAGCACAGCGTCGTACCTCTGAAGCACTTCGATTTGAACCACCTGTTGGTATGCATGGAATGAAATACATACAGTATTTGAAATGCACTTAGCATGCATATTGCTGCAGTATTGCAAGCCCAATCATGACTGCGTAACTTGAAGTAACACTGGTCACAGCTTTTTCTCAGCCAGAACTCATCAAAACTCAGTTCCAGCACCTCTCAGGTAGACACAGTTGCCATTATAAGAGGACAAGGGAGGTGTTCATGGTGAATTCCGGCACCACTTTTTCTAGAAAAATAGCACTAACTATTTTTCTATTTAACTAAACTTAATTTAACTTTAGTTAACTATTTAACTAAAGGAACAGTATTGCACTTTAGAAAGAGCTCAGTTTGAACAATTTGATGGTATGAAGACAATAAAAGATTGTATAGTTTTTTGAAAAAACACCAGACATTTAATCAAGAGTGGGCAGCACAATGGCAGCTGCTGCAACACTGTATCAGGATAGGCAGGATGATAACCAGACTGTGGCTTTATGGACGCATTGGGAGAGCCAATCTGATGCTCCTACCAGAATATTCATGCAACTTCAACCTTACTATATCCTTGTCCTGTCATCACACTATCAGAGTAAACAGCAGTGACTGCCTTACCACATCACTATACCACCCTGGGTACTCGTGTTCTGATGTATGTTGACAAAAATACAACAACTAAAGCAAGTGAGTGATGTTCCTGCCACAAATGTCCTGGACCTCTATGCCAGTTTATTGATGTACCATATTTCCCACAAAAAATCTGTGCTCCAAGTGATTTCACATAAAAACAAACATTTTAAATACAGTAGTATTGTTGAATTGTCTAATAAACAATATAACTTTTTTTTAAAAAAAATCAACAATTAACAGTTCACCCCCCTAATGGCAAATATAGTCCCTCTCCCGTCACAGTTCCTCTAGAAGCTGTTCCCCTATGAAGGCTCCTATGGCTGGAGGGTGAGGTATGTGGAAACAGTCTTATTCTGGTGGCAAAATCTCCCTCCCTCCCTCCACTTTTCATTTTCATTTAGAAAATATTTGTTGCTTTCCCAATCCTGCTTCTGCACTACCAAGATCTAAACCATAGTTTGGCTTTACAATTACGTGTGAATCTGGCCTTGGAGTTTGACTCCCCCAAATAAACCTTGAGCAGCAAACCATAAACAGTAAATCACGAGCAGTAAGCCAAGTACAAACCATGGTTACTGTTTATGGTTTGTCTAAAGTGAAACAAACTATTAGCCCAGGTTTGCACAGAACATTAAACCAAACCATAGCTTAGCTCCTGGTAGCACAGGAGGAAGAGGACCAGGGGAGCACCAAAGTGGCTGCCATTTTCTGAATGTGCACCAGCATGCTTGCTTGTTCCTACTGAAGTGTAATTTGGCTTAGCATTACCAGTGAACAGATATGAGAGGATCAGAAATCACCTAGTACCATGGCTGGCAAGTTCTCTTGTGTGTTTTAGGAGTGAGGTGATGGTGGCATATGTAGGAATAACGAAGGATGATGGGAGGTTGGATGCAAGTGACCTGTGCAGGAGCAAGCTGAAAAGCAAGCCTTGCAGAGCCTCTTTTTATTAGCAGAAGTCAACAATTGGAAACAGTAGTGAAACCACTCTGAACATGACGTGTTTCCATCTAAGCACATTTCCAGCGTTATCTAATAATAATAATAATAATAACAACAACAACAACAACAACAACAATACTTTATTATTTGTACCCCGCCCATCTGGGCCACTCTGGGCGGCTTCCATAGAAACCAAAAAACACTAAAATATCACACATTAAAAACTTCCTGAAATACACGTTAGCAGGTGTTTCCCTAAAATGTTCCTCGATACTTGATTACATCTGCATCCCCGGTCATGCTCCAGCCAAGCGTTATGTCTAGTAACCAAATATGTGAGAGGACAAATGGTCAGGGGAATAACCCTGTTTGCTAGCCAAGAGGCCACAAGTTCATGGAGAGTGGGTATGAGGCTCCTTGGCACGCTGTGGCATGCCGGGTGCAAGGTGTGCCTCAGCACAAGCGGAGCGTTACCTCCATATCTCCAAAACGTCAGGGGGAAACCCTGACTTCTAGCCAAGAGGCGAAAGTCTGGGGAGTGTGGGTGCGAGGCTCCTTGGCACACTGTGGCATGCCGGGTGCGAGGTGTGCCTCAGCACAGGTGGAGCCACACCTCCACAGGCATATTTGCAGATCTATGCCCTAGATTCTAGAGCATACGTCTGTCAATATAGTAGACATTTTCACAGGCTTAAGTTCACATGAAGTTTCTTTGCTATATTTCACAATCATTTCCTTTAGCCTTTCCCCCTTAAAATGTCTAATCTGCAATTACAGATGGAAAGGGTTTTTTTCCATTTCTTTGAAATAGTTAAGTTTTTGAGTATATTTTTCTTGTGTGACTTTGTGACCAATAAGGACACTTGAAATTGTTTTTGAAGACATAACTCAAAAACATTTCTGTTCACAGAAAAAGAATTATTTGAATTAGCTGTTAAGAAGCAGCGTTTACAGGCCAACTTGGAATCCAATTGGAAAGAGCTACAGGAAGCTCAGACACTTGCAGCTACCGAACCAGGCAGTATCAGTGGTATGTTTGCTGTAATGTTTCATGTTGTTAGGTATACTTTTAAAACATACCTACTTTGGATTTCAGGTCATTTCAATACAATTGAGCTTAAATACTAACATGACTTATTCATACTGATGAGTCTTAGAAGGCTGCTGTTCTGATTACTGAGATAACAAGTATGATGGAATTTGAGCAACTAGCATTATAAATGTAAATATTTATTTTTAAAATACCCAGTTAATACTACATACGTATTGCATAATAATACTTTGTGTAGTTTTTTCAGCATACATTATTATTTTGTAGAACATAAACTACAGCAGCTCACTGAGGAAAGAAGACTCATGACTCAAGATCTAAAGGAAACTATGCACAATATGCAAAATGCTGAACGCCGTGCTTCAGAAAGGGCTCTGATTGAAACACCCACTGGTAGGTAGATAATGAATGATGTATAATACTATGGTATTCATAGTATTACTTCAGTGTTTCAAGACCCCTGTTATCAATGTGAAAAGCAGGAGTAGAAGTTAATCAAGTGAGTCCCTTTTCATTGTTCTTGGGTAAGTTTTAGGTCTGTGAGCACTTAAAAAGGGAAGCTGTAATTACTAAGATCCAGCATGGGGTTCTCAAAAACAAGTCGTGCCAGATTAATCTCACATTCTTTTCCTTAGTTACAAGCTTGATAGATCAGAGGACTACTATGGACGTAGTGTATCTTTATTTCAGTAAGGCTTTTGATGAAGTCCCCCAAGATATTTGTGCAGAGAAGCTGGCAAAATGTGGACTGGACAAGATAACAGTTAGGTGGATTTGTAGCTGGTTGACTGACTGAACTTAAAGAGTACTCACGATTCCTCATCAGCCTGGAAAAAAGTGACAATTGGTGTACTGCAGGGTCCTATCCTGGGACTGTTGTTGTTCAACATCTTTATAAATGACTTGGACGAAGGAATTGAGAGGATGCTAATCAAATTTGCAGATGAGACCAAACTGAGAGGACTAGCTAATGCCACAGAAGACAGAATGGGGTTCAAAATGACCTTAACAGATTGGAGATCTGGGTCAAAACTAACTAACCATAGGGACAAATGTAACATTCTGCACAGGCAGGAATAACCAGCTGCACCAATATAAGATGGGGGATACCTGGCTTGCCAGTAGTACATGTGAAAAGGATCTAGGGCTCTTAGTAAACCCCAAGGGTAACATGAGTCAAAAGTGTGATGCAGCAGCAAGAAAACCTAATGCTATTCTAGGCTCCATCAACAGAGGTACAGTGGTACCCCGCAAGACGAACGCCTCGCGAGACGAAAAACTCGCAAAACGAAAGGTTTTTTCGTTTTCGAGTTGCCTCGCAAGACGAATTTCCCTATGGGCTTGCTTTGCAAAACGAAGCTTGCCCCGGGGACAGCGGGTCTTCTCTTTTGAAGCAAGGGGCGGCGGGGAGATCGCTTCTCCCCACCGCCCCTTGCTTCAAAAGAGGTCCGGGGGCAGCGGGAAGCGCTTCCCGCTGCCCCCGGACCTCTTTTGAAGCAAGCGGCTGCGCTTCTCTCCGCAGCCGCTTCCTTCAAAAGAGGTCCCGGACCCCTTTTGAAGCAAGCGGCTGCGGGGAGATCGCTTCTCTCCGCAGCCGCTTCCTTCAAAAGAGGTCCCGGACCCCTTTTGAAGCAAGCGGCTGCGGGGAGATCGCTTTTCTCCGCAGCCGCTTGCTTCAAAAGAGGTCCCGGACCCCTTTTGAAGCAAGCGGCTGCGGGGAGATCGCTTTTCTCCGCAGCCGCTTCCTTCAAAAGAGGTCCCGGACCCCTTTTGAAGCAAGCGGCTGCGGGGAGATCACTTTTCTCCGCAGCCGCTTGCTTCAAAAGAGGTCCCGGACCCCTTTTGAAGCAAGCGGCTGCGGGGAGATCGCTTTTCTCCGCAGCCGCTTGCTTCAAAAGAGGTCCCGGACCTCTTTTGAAGCAAGCGGCTGCGGGGAGATCGCTTCTCTACGCAGCCGCTTGCTTCAAAAGAGGTCCCGGACCACTTTTGAAGCAAGCGGCTGCGGGGAGATCACTTCTCTCCGCAGCCGCTTCCTTCAAAAGAGGTCCCGGACCCCTTTTGAAGCAAGCGGCTGCGGGGAGATCGCTTTTCTCCGCAGCCGCTTCCTTCAAAAGAGGTCCCGGACCCCTTTTGAAGCAAGCGGCTGCGGGGAGATCGCTTTTCTCCGCAGCCGCTTCCTTCAAAAGAGGTCCCGGACCCCTTTTGAAGCAAGCGGCTGCGGGGAGATCGCTTCTCTACGCAGCCGCTTGCTTCAAAAGAGGTCCCGGACCTCTTTTGAAGCAAGCGGCTGCGGGGAGATCGCTTTTCTCCGCAGCCGCTTCCTTCAAAAGAGGTCCCGGACCCCTTTTGAAGCAAGCGGCTGCGGGGAGATCGCTTTTCTCCGCAGCCGCTTCCTTCAAAAGAGGTCCCGGATCCCTTTTGAAGCAAGCGGCTGCGGGGAGATCGCTTTTCTCCGCAGCCGCTTCCTTCAAAAGAGGTCCCGGACCCCTTTTGAAGCAAGCGGCTGCGGGGAGATCGCTTCTCTACGCAGCCGCTTGCTTCAAAAGAGGTCCCGGACCTCTTTTGAAGCAAGCGGCTGCGGGGAGATCGCTTTTCTCCGCAGCCGCTTCCTTCAAAAGAGGTCCCGGACCCCTTTTGAAGCAAGCGGCTGCGGGGAGATCGCTTTTCTCCGCAGCCGCTTCTTTCAAAAGAGGTCCCGGACCCCTTTTGAAGCAAGCGGCTGCGGGGAGATCGCTTCTCTACGCAGCCGCTTGCTTCAAAAGAGGTCCCGGACCCCTTTTGAAGCAAGCGGCTGCGGGGAGATCGCTTTTCTCCGCAGCCGCTTCCTTCAAAAGAGGTCCCGGACCCCTTTTGAAGCAAGCGGCTGCGGGGAGATCGCTTCTCTACGCAGCCGCTTGCTTCAAAAGAGGTCCCGGACCTCTTTTGAAGCAAGCGGCTGCGGGGAGATCGCTTCTCTACGCAGCCGCTTGCTTCAAAAGAGGTCCCGGACCTCTTTTGAAGCAAGCGGCTGCGGGGAGATCGCTTCTCTCCGCAGCCGCTTCCTTCAAAAGAGGTCCCGGACCCCTTTTGAAGCAAGCGGCTGCGGGGAGATCGCTTTTCTCCGCAGCCGCTTCCTTCAAAAGAGGTCCAGGGAACACCTGCCCCAGCCGCCCCGCTTCGGAACGCTGCTCGGCTGTGGGGCGGGAAAACCTAATGCTATTCTAGGCTCCATCAACAGAGGTACAGTGGTACCCCGCAAGACGAACGCCTCGCGAGACGAAAAACTCGCAAAACGAAAGGTTTTTTTCGTTTTCGAGTTGCCTCGCAAGACGAATTTCCCTATGGGCTTGCTTCGCAAAACGAAGCTTGCCCCGGGGACAGCGGGTCTTCTCTTTTGAAGCAAGGGGCGGCGGGGAGATCGCTTCTCCCCACCGCCCCTTGCTTCAAAAGAGGTCCGGGGGCAGCGGGAAGCGCTTCCCGCTGCCCCCGGACCTCTTTTGAAGCAAGCGGCTGCGCTTCTCTCCGCAGCCGCTTGCTTCAAAAGAGGTCCCGGACCCCTTTTGAAGCAAGCGGCTGCGGGGAGATCGCTTCTCTCCGCAGCCGCTTCCTTCAAAAGAGGTCCCGGACCCCTTTTGAAGCAAGCGGCTGCGGGGAGATCGCTTTTCTCCGCAGCCGCTTGCTTCAAAAGAGGTCCCGGACCCCTTTTGAAGCAAGCGGCTGCGGGGAGATCGCTTCTCTACGCAGCCGCTTGCTTCAAAAGAGGTCCCGGACCTCTTTTGAAGCAAGCGGCTGCGGGGAGATCGCTTTTCTCCGCAGCCGCTTCCTTCAAAAGAGGTCCCGGACCCCTTTTGAAGCAAGCGGCTGCGGGGAGATCGCTTTTCTCCGCAGCCGCTTCCTTCAAAAGAGGTCCCGGACCCCTTTTGAAAGCAAGCGGCTGCGGGGAGATCGCTTTTCTCCGCAGCCGCTTCCTTCAAAAGAGGTCCCGGACCCCTTTTGAAGCAAGCGGCTGCGGGGAGATCGCTTCTCTATGCAGCCGCTTGCTTCAAAAGAGGTCCCGGACCTCTTTTGAAGCAAGCGGCTGCGGGGAGATCGCTTTTCTCCGCAGCCGCTTCCTTCAAAAGAGGTCCCGGACCCCTTTTGAAGCAAGCGGCTGCGGGGAGATCGCTTTTCTCCGCAGCCGCTTCTTTCAAAAGAGGTCCCGGACCCCTTTTGAAGCAAGCGGCTGCGGGGAGATCGCTTCTCTACGCAGCCGCTTGCTTCAAAAGAGGTCCCGGACCCCTTTTGAAGCAAGCGGCTGCGGGGAGATCGCTTTTCTCCGCAGCCGCTTCCTTCAAAAGAGGTCCCAGACCCCTTTTGAAGCAAGCGGCTGCGGGGAGATCGCTTCTCTACGCAGCCGCTTGCTTCAAAAGAGGTCCCGGACCTCTTTTGAAGCAAGCGGCTGCGGGGAGATCGCTTCTCTCCGCAGCCGCTTCCTTCAAAAGAGGTCCCGGACCCCTTTTGAAGCAAGCGGCTGCGGGGAGATCGCTTTTCTCCGCAGCCGCTTGCTTCAAAAGAGGTCCAGGGAACACCTGCCCCCAGCCGCCCCGCTTCGGAACGCTGCTCCGAAGCGGGGCTGTGGGGCGGGAACCTCTCCCCCCGCCGCCGGGCATCGGAACGAGGTCCTGGACCTCTTCTGAAGGCAGGCGGTGGCAAAAGTCTTTGCTCCCCCCGCCTGCCTTCCCGGGACAGCGGAGACTTCTCCGCTGCCCCGGGCGATCTTAAAATGCTGGCGGGCGGGAGCGAAGCATTCGCTGCCGACCCCCAGCATTTTGAAATCTCCTCGGGGCAGCGGAGACTTCGCTCCCGCCCGCCAGCATTTTAAAATCGCCCCGGGACAGCAGGGGCTTTTAAAATGCTGGCGGTCGGCAGCAAAGCCCTCCTGTCCCCGGAGCTTGCAGGGCGGGAGGTGGGAAGAAGGGCTTTTCTTCCCACCGCCAGCCTTCAGAACAGCCTTCTGAAGGCTGGCAGTGGGAAAAAAGCCCTTGTCCCCCCCCCAGCCTTCAGAAGAGGTCGGGGGACAGACTGTCCCCGGACCTGGTCTGAAGGCGGTTTTCCTAGGAACGCATTAATTGATTTTCAATGCATTCCTATGGGAAACCGTGCATCGCAAGACGAAAAACTCGCAAGACGAAGAGAATTGCGGAACGAATTAATTTCGTCTTGCGAGGCACCACTGTATAGTGTTCCAATCAAGGGAAGTAATAGTCTCGCTCTATTCTGCCTTAGTCAGATCACACCTGATCTCTGTCCAGTTCTGGGCACCACAATTTAAGAAGGATCTTGACAAGCTGGAACTCGTACAGAGAAGGATGACCAAGATGCTGAATGGTCTGTTAACCAAGCCTTATGAAGAATGGTTGAAGGAATTGCATATGTTTGGCCTGGTAAAGATGAGACTGAGAGAAGATCTGATAGCCATCTTCAAATATCTAAATGGCTGTCACATGGAAGATGGAGCTAGCTTGTTTTTTCCTGCTCCAGAAGATAGGGCCCAAACCAATGACTTCTAGCTACAAGAAAGGAGATTCTGACTAAACATCAGGAAGAATGTTCTGACAGTAAGATTTGTTTCACAGTGGAACAGACTCCAAGGAGAAGTAATGGACTCTCTTTCCTTGGAGGTTTTAAAGCAGAGGTTTGATGGCCCTCTGTCATGTATGATCAAGTTGAGATTCCTGCATGCAGGTGGTTGGACTAGATGACCCTTGGGGTCCATTCCAACTCTACAATTCTATGATTCCTTTGCAATATAAAAACAAAATAAAATACAACTAATAATGATTGATTGATTAAAACACCACTCATTTTGTAGCAAAAGTGTTCTTCACTCCAAGTCAGTACTTCTCAAATTTTATCACTTTCCACAGCCTTTATGAGGAAATGTTCACTTTTTTGGTCTCAAAAATTAAATTCTGCACACCCTCACACAAAAAAGAGTTACTGGTAGTTGCACAATTAGGCAATTTTATACCTTGAAATTAATGCTCTTACAGCCATCTTCACTTTTGATAGTTCACTGTGTGCATTGCATTCATATCACATTCAGTAACTTTCATTTCAGTTTCCCATCTGTTTTCCATGCTTTTTCTCTGACACATTGGGAGGCAATCCTTATAGATTAAAAAGAATGAGAAACTCCAGAGTTTCATGTTTTTAATTTATGAAGCTACAGAAGGTAGATTATTCATTATTTATTTAAAAGAATTTTTAGCTTACTTTTCAGCCAGAAAAGTCTTTACAATCTAAAAGATACAGTTTACAATGAAGAGGGATTGGAAGGAAGGAGGAAAAACTGTGGTAATGAGGATTGGTTTAGTTGTCCAGATGGATTATTTTATCTTGTTTTATTACATTTATATATTGCCTTTATTCCCTCATCTAAGCGGAGATGGTGTATTTGTGGATGGGAATATAAATATTCAGTGACTTCAGGATTAGTCTGTTTCTTATCCCCTTATATCAGGACAAGATGATTTCTCATAAGCTCCTGTAGTGAATGTTGTGGTGGGGGCCACTTTGGTATACTTCCAGAATGATTTCAGTTAGCTTCTTCATCCTTTCATATATGCAATCTGCAATGTATTTATATGAAATAATCAAGTTTTTAAAATGATTTTTATTTATTTTATGCTAATGTGCTAGAAATAAGGACATTTGAAATAGTTTTTCAAGGGGCAATTCTGAAATATTTCTGTTCACAGGAAGGAAGTTCTATGATCTCTTGGAGAAGAAGCAACAGTTGCAGGCAGATTTGGAATCCAACTGGGAAAAGCTACAAGAAGCTGAGGCTCTTATAGCTACCCAGCCAGGAATTATCAGTGGTAAGTGGGCTGTGATCACTAATGCTTTTAATTACAATCTTAAATATATTTTGTTGAAGAGGCAAGCCATTGCCTTAGCTGCCTTGCCAATACGCTTGTCCAGCTCAGCATTGATGGAGAGATTACTGAAGTTATAGTGGAACCCAGTTAAACAAAATAGTCTGCCACCTCAAGTGTGTGGTCACCAATGCTGATTCATAGAGTGCTGGTGAGGTCCTGACCCAAGATGTTGGTCTTCATCAGGCTGATGATAAGGCCAAACTTTATGCAGGCTTGGGCAAAATGGTTGATGAGTCACTGTAGAGCTTCTTTGGAGTGTGCTGTCAAGGTTGCAAACAACATCTCTCAGATGTCTGCTGCACTTTTGTTTTGGTGTGGAGATGTGCCAGGTCGCTTCATATGGATGTACACACCATCTTCAGTTGAGCTGAAGGCATATGAGAGCAATAGGGAGAAGAATATGTCAAAGAGGGCTGGGGTGAGTATTCAGCCCTGTTTCACACTGCTCTTTATAGGGAAGGCATCTGGGGATGAGCCATCATATTGGACGGTGCCACACATGTTGTTGTGGAAGGACACAATCATCTTGAGAAGCTTAGGTTGGCATCCTATCTTGTTGAGCTTTGTGAAGTGTCATTTTCAGCTGACAGGGTCAAAGGCCTTCACCAGGTCTATGAAGGTGATATACAAGGGGCTCTTAGCATTTCTCCTGCAGCTGGTGCAGTGAGAAAACCACACTCTCTCGCTGGCTGGGAGAGCAGAGCAGATCAGGCAGGGACTAGGATGGTGCCAGCCAGTCTCTCTGGTCCCTCTGTGCTTAGTTCTCCTAATCCATGCAAAGATGCATTGTTACAGTTCAAGAGCACATTCTGGCCATGCAAAAGTACTTGAGAAGAGCACAAATCAGAGCTGGTGACAGTTGTGGCCCTGGGAGAATCTCAGGAGCTTGAAGAGGATTGGAAGGCAGCATTTAGCTCTAGGGCAGTGGTGGCCAAACTTTACCCTCCAGCTGTTTTTGGACTACAACTCCCATCATCCCTAGCTAACAGGTCAGGGATGATGGGAATTGTAGTCCCAAAACAGCTGGAGGGCCAAGTTTGGCCACCACTGCTCTAGGGCCTGGCATTCACCACCTCCAATGTAATGTACATGGAATGATAGAAGAAGTGCTCTATAAATGTTAAGCATTAGTCTCTAAAATTTTGAGATATTAAATACTAATTGCACTACTATATTTAGTGTAGTTATTTTAGCACATATTAAATATTTTATTATGAATTGATGTGAATTTTTAATAGAGCGTAAACTAGAGGAACTGGCTGAAGAAAGGAAGCGTTTGACTAAAGAACTAGCTGCAACTGCAGAAGATATATTGGAAGCCCATCGCCAGGCTTCAGAAAAAGCTCTGTTTAGGAAACCTGCTGGTAAGTAGGGAATAAATGACCTTGAATATTAAAAGGGAATTTAACATGCATACTGTTTCAAAATTCAAAGCCCAGTTATCCCATCACTGTTAAAACTGAAACCGTTGACACTGAGGTATAGAAGACATCAGTCTGACAGCCTTCTTCTGTGCCTGGATTGAGCCCCAGTGGGAATGTCACCTTCCTCCAACTACAGGAAACAAAGCAGAGTCCATTAGATGCAGCAGCTGGATAGGTTAACATCACTGTAATTTCTTTATTGAATTTATATCCCACCCTTTCTCCTGAAGGAGCCTGGAGTAGCATGCCCATATCAAATTTCAGTGGAGAGCCCCGCATCCATCCCAGCCAGCTTGCAGCTTGATAAATTGGATGAGCTTTTAGCCAATGCTAAAAACTAAGAAAGAAAGTGGGGAGGTGTTACTGGGCGGTGGTGATTATCAGACTGAGAGGTTTTATGTTTGTATTGATTTGGAAGCATTGAGGATGGACACTGTTTTTGCTAATCAAAGTAATCTCAGGGTTTACTTAGAGCAGAGAGGACCTTGTACTGTCTGGAAATGTTCTATATGTTCCTACGGAGCCCATATTTACAGACCTCTGTTCATTATAGTGGATGTGAGTGGTATTACGTATCAGAGCTTTAAGCCCACTTGATATTCTTTGCTATTTTCCTGAATAATTAGTTTTAACTTCTTAAATCTTAAGATAAAGGTAAAGGGACCCCTGACCATTAGGTCCAGTCATGGCCGACTCTGGGGTTGCGGTGTTCATCTCGCTTTATTGGCCGAGGGAGCCAGCGTACAGTTTCTGGGTCATGTGGCCAGCATGATTAAGCCACTTCTGGCAAACCAGAGCAGCGCACGGAAATGCCGTTTACCTTCCCGCCTGGAGTGGTACCTATTTATCTACTTGCACTTTATGCATTGCCAAATGAAGAAGGCATTTGCCATTTTTATGAAACGATGCATTTAAGTAACTTTATCAGCAGTGAGGACATTGGAAACTGTTTTTCAATATATGACTCAAAAACTTTTTACTTTTCCCCCCAGAAAAAGAGTTATATGCACTGTCAGAGAAGAAACAAATGTTACTGCAAAATTTGAAAGGGCTGCAGGAAGCTCAGGCTCTTGCAGCAACCCAATCTGGCATTGTTGGTGGTATGTATGCTGTCATTTTTCCTTTTTTCAACTATAATATTAAACACATGCATTTGGAATTAAGGTGTTTCAATTGCCAAGTATGTTTTTAATGCCTATAGCTGTTTGTTTCTATATCTGTATACATGTGGGATCTGCAACAAAATGTTACAGTGTGGGCTGTTCCTGTTCATTATGCCAGCCAGACAGCTATGCTTTCTTTCAGGAGACTCCATTCCCTCCCCTCCCCTCCTTGGGTTTCCATTCTCCTCCAACACACAGTCAGTATTCTGTGGCTAGTGAACATGTTCGGTCCTCATTGGCCAGTTTATGATTCCCCTCCCCATATGATTCTTTACTGCTTCTATGAATTTTGGAGTTTCGCAGAGCATTCTCATTCTTATATTTTGTTTCTTAGTAGTTCTGTTTTCACATAATAGCCATCATAACTCAAATCTTATCTCCCTATTAATACATATGTTTAATATGCTACATCAGTAAGAATCATTGCATGTTTTTATACAATATTATATGTCAAGACAAACCATGGTTTAGTGTTACATCTGAATCAGGCAATTAATATTTGAACATTCAGTGAGCAATATATAATACGCTCATTTATATTAAATATTTTAGATACTGAATGCTAATTGTGCTATTATATATAGTGCAGTAAATTAATTAGGGTACTAAATGAAGGCAAATTAATATTTTGTCACAAAATTTGGTCTGAAATTATTTTTTAGAGGAGAAACGGAAACAGCTTGCTGAGCAAAAACAACGTTTGGCTGCTGATCTAGAGGCAACTATGCATGATATACAAAAGGCACAGCGTCATGTTTCAGTGGCGCCTATAACTATGTCACCTAGTGGTAAGTTGAGAATAAATGACCTTCTGTCTACAGTCACTTTTTGTTGTTTCAATAAAAAGTTCTCCGAAAAGAGGTAGAAAGGGCCTTGGGTCTTGCCTGGCACTTCTGTGTCATTTCTGGGGCAGGGCTGCTGTCAAGTTTGAGAGAGCTGTAGACAAGCTGTCCTGTCTCCCTACCTGTACCACCTGGGTGCCCCCCCCCGGCATAAATTAATATAGTAGTGGCTTCTGTAGAAGCTGCTTAGCTGCTCTCTGGAGAGCACCAAAAAGATTGCCACTGCCTGCCCCTACTTGAAACATGTCCTCATAATTTTACCCAGGAGCAGCAAAGAGAGCTGACAGTGCTCAGCCCAGTGCTCACTATAGAAGGCTGGAAGAAAATGACTGCAGCCACCACCATCATATTTATTGCCTCAGAAGATGGTAATTGCAGTAGTAAAATGATGGGTGCGGTAGCCATTTCTATAGTGAGTGCTGAGCTTGGTGGGGGGGAACTACTTTTTAAATTGAAGAGGGGAAGGGGACAGCATTGACCCTGGGAAATTACTTTGTTACCTTTCCAGAAGGTTTTCATTTGTCTCACTTACCATGTCTTAAGATCTGTACTGACGGATTAAGATTTAATTTTTAATTAAGGATTTAATTTTTGCACAAGTTTCTTCATCTTTTGCACGTATGATATTTTTCAAGTGATTTAACCATGATTTAAATTTTAAAAACATTTCATTTTCCAGAAAATGAATTATATGCACTATCGGAGAAGAAATCTCTGATACTGGAAAGTTTGGCATTCAATCGGAAACAGCTACAGGAAGCTCAGGCGCTTGCTGCTCTGCATCCAGGCACTGACAGTGGTATGTTTTAGGAGCGTGCAGCAGCACAAGACTTGCTACATACCCAAATTTGGCATTTTGTAAAACAGATTCCCTTGGTCCAAGGTGCTTTGTGGGTTGCTTGATTCAACTTATTTCTCAAAGTCCACTTTTTCCTCTCTTCATTCACTTTTTGGAGGACAAAAAACTATAACCTTTTCCTTTTGACAGAGGTAAATGAAGTTTATAAGCATATCAGCCCCTCCAAAGTGGATTAATCCTATCAAACTACAAACAAATGAACCCAGGGACTTTTGTTGTGGCTACCTCTGAAATGTGATCGTTTCCATAAAAATACTGTCTCTTTAACTTTTAAAATATTTGGGTGGACTGGAAGTAGATGAAATTTACTGGCAAGTTTGCCCCTTCTAAGGTCATGACTCCTGCCAAATGTCTGAAGGGATAGCTGCTGTGGTTCTTTTGCAAGAGCAACCTTATCGTGTGTGTGTGTGTGTGTGTGTGTGTGTGTGTGTGTTTTAAAAAGGATTCACTTGTGTATTGAGCAATGACATAAGAGAGGTGCCTCTGGGTAAGAAACTGGAAACAATTCTAGGAGATTTTTGCTAGGCACTTACAAACTTACCCTATCAGTCACAATGTAGTTTTGGAATCATGAAAATATATAATATAATATAAAAATTAAAGGAAAATAGAATCTGGGACACAAGATATTAAGGCCTAGAAGCATTAGACTTTATATGTAAGTCCTCAGCAAATCCAGTGTGTGGCTTTCTGCTGGGACAGGCTTGCTTGGGTGGGGTTTGCAAGCAGGGTGCGTTCTATGTTTCTGTTCTGTGTATAGGCTTTGATCGTCATCTGCACCATCCTCCTTTTTTGTAATAGCATTTTAAGTTTGCCAAAATATTTTTAGCCCTTTATCATCATAACCACCCTGTGAAGTAGATCATAATGCACTTCTAGCAAAACAACAAAAAGAACATAGTAGCACCTTAAAGACTAATACATTTATTATGACATAATATTTATTGGGCTGCACTTTACTTCAGCAGATGCATTCTATGAAAGCAGATGTAATAATACATTTGCTAACTTTTAAAGTGCTACTTGATAATTGTTTCGCTTTGGCTGTAAGCCATGCCTGTTGACTAACTGTTTGACTGAAAGTGCACCAGAGTAATATATTGTACTCAATACCACACAATGACCCTGTGTCAAGAGAAGGAATTTTAAATTAGGTCTCCAGATCTTCTGGTGGGCTGACTTTAAAAAATACAAAGAAAAAAGACAATGCTCTTCCTGATAGACTTACTGAGAAGAAAGTGCAGGTCTGGTTATGAATTATGAGCCTCATAAATAAATGGCATGATCATGCACAGAGTGCACCTATCTCACCAATGAGGAATTTCTGTTAGCATGATGATTTCACAACACCCACTGCTGTCCAAACAGAAATACATGTCCAAGCATGTATTTGAAGAAGGCCCCCCTCCTCTCGGCGTTAGGCTTTGTTGCCTCAGGATTAGCAAATACATTATTAAAAAACCAGTAATTGTAAGTCTTTAAATATCCCTGCTGGTAAAAGAAAATGGTATAAGTAAAGTTAGTTTTACACACAAGAAACTCACAGTGTGGCCAGTGATGCTACTCACACAAGAAGGCAACAAAAGAAAGATACACAAAATGGTAGAGAACAAACCCAGCCATTTAATGCACCCATTTAGTGCACTTATTTTTTTCTGTAGCCATTTAGCACACTTATTGTATTATAAATTGCCCCAAATGTCTTTATAGACCATAAATTAGAAGAATTAGCTCAAGAAAGAAAGCGTTTGACTGAAGATCTAAGAGAAGCTGTGCATAGTCTACATGAAATAGAGCGGCGTTCTTCACAAAAAGGACAGATTGATTCTGCTGGTAGGTGGACAATATATGACCTTCAGGATCCCCCCCCCAAGGGTTTCTAGTGTTGTAAGCCCAATTATCAGGCTATTGAGAAAAAGGAGGTAGAAGCAAGTTAACCTATTAGTATGTGCTCTCAATCACATGTGCACGCATACATGGAGGTGTCACCATTAGCAATGTGTTTCTAGGGTCATAGTGTGCCGTTTTCCTGTACATTTACATCAGGAGAAAATTAATCATAGGCTATGAAATATAGCTTTGAGTGGAAATAATACTATATTATAAACACAAGGCAGTTGATACATATGCATAGGAGACTTTGTCAAAAGCCTTACTGAAATTAAGATACACTACATCCACAGCATTCCCCTTGTAATTCTATCAAACGAAGAAATGAGATTCGTCTGTCATGACTTGAGAAACCCATGCTGGGTCTTAGTAATCACAGCATCCTTTTCTAAGTGCTCACAGATGGACTGTTAAATTGTCTGTTCAAGGACCTTTCATAGTATCAATGTCAAGCTCACTGGTCGGTAGTTCCCTAGGTCTTCTTTTTTGCCCTTTTTGAAGATGGAGACAACATTTGCCTGTCTCCAGTCTGCAGGGACCTCACCCATTCTCCAAGAATTCACAAAGATTATAGACAGAGGCTCTGTCTATAACTAACTGGCTGCTAGTGCAGTTTGATGGTGATATTCTACCCTTGTGAGCAGTTCAGCCACCATATTTTGCACTAGCTGCAGCTGAAGATACAGAGGAGGAAGAGGAAGAGTAGTAAAGGTTTAAAATGAAGAGGGCTCCGGGATGTACTTGAAAGTGCTCTCATGGAATGTAAATGGATTTAACAATAAAACCAAAAGAAATCAAATAGCACATGCCCTGTATAAACAAAAAAATGGACATCATATGTTTACAGGAAACTATAAACAAAAGTTTGGGACAAGATTTAATCTCCTCAGATAAAAAAAGAAAAGGGGAGTGGTTTTGTATGTTAATCCCAAATCAGATCCTAAACAAATATTCAGGGATGAAGGTAGAAGGTAGAATAATGGGGTGGAGGTCAAATGGGCAGGGAAACGATGGATAATTGTGGGAATGTACGCTCCAAACAAACAAAAACTGGAATTTTACAAAGACCTATAGGAGAAATCATTTGAGGTATATGAGGGGAAAGTTGTGTTAATGGGCGATCTAAATGGGGTTGTTTCTTTAGATTATGATAGGACAATACGAAACAGATTGGTTAAGTTACCATCAGTTGAGTGCAATATTTAAGCTAGATTAAAAAATATGGTGAAAAGGTGCTTTTAGGATCCAGGGTCAAAATATTATCCAAAATGTATAACATTACATGAGTAGGAGACAATGGAGGAAATGGTAAAGTATTCAATGGTAAGTTGGGCTAGGGACGTTGGACACAATATTGATTTTGCATTATGGGAACAACTGTGGAAAGTAAATTCAAGGTTTACAGCATGCTACATGTTAAGAGAAATTTTTATGAAGATGCAGCATAGATTGTATTTGACACCAAATAAACTAGTGAAAATGTCAAAATCAATAAAGGGTAATTGTTGGAAATGTAGGACAGTAGATGGAACCTTCTATCACCTGTGGTGGTCATGTAACATAATTAAAAATTACTGAGAAATGATCTATAATGAACTAAAAATGTTTTCAAAATCCTTTTCTAAAAACCCAGAAGAATTTTTGCTGGGGTTAATAACAACAGAAGTCACTAAAAAACAGAGAAATTTGTTCCTATACACGACAACAGCCACCCATGTGTTACTAACCCCAAAATGGACAAGGTATCAACAAAAGAAGAATGACACATTAAACTGTTAGAATATGCAGAGCTTGCAGGAATGACCACTAGAATAAGAAATCAAAATGATTTACCAAAGTAAGATGGATTTGAGCCAGAGAATCTCAGAACAAGAGATAGAGGCTGCCATTCAGAATATGCAACTGGGCAAATCTCCAGGACCAGATGGACTGACTTCCGGATACTACAAATCGTTGAAGGAATGGTTGATTCAACCACTAAGAGAAGTTTGTAATGAGATCCTTGAGGGAAAAAAGGCACCTGAATCGTGGAAAGAAGCATATATTTCACTCATACCAAAATCAGAGACTGAAAAGACCCAACTTAAGAACTACCGCCCAATATCATTGCTCAATGTGGATTACAAAATTTTTGCAGACATTTTGGCAAAAAGATTTAAAAGAGTGTTGATGGAGAAGATTCATAGGGACCAAGCAGGCTTTCTCCCTAAAAGACACCTGGCAGACAATGTAAGGAATGTAATAGATATTCTGGAAAAGCTAGAGGTGAATATAAACACTAAAGCAGTACTGATCTTTGTGGATGCGGAGAAAGCCTTTGACAATATTTCTTGGAGCTTTATGAGGAAGAATCTTCATGGGATGGGGGTAGGCCAGGGTTTTGAGAATGGTATGGCTGCAATATATTCAGAACAAAAAGCTAAACTGATTGTAAATAATGTTGTGACTGAGGAACTTAAGATAGAAAAAGGAACACGACAGGGGTGCCCGATTTCCCCATTACTTTTTATCTCAGTTCTGGAGGTGTTGCTGAATATGATAAGAAATGACCAGCAGATCAAAGGGGTGCAGGTCGGAGCTAAACATTATAAGTTGAGAGCGTTTGCAGATGACTTAGTATTGACTTTGCAAGAGCCAAACACTAGCACGAAAAAGGCTTTAGAAATAATACAACAGTTTGGCCAGGTAGCTGGATTTAAGTTGAATAAGCAAAAAACAAAAGTTTTAGGGAAAAATTTAACAGATATGGAAAAGGAGAAATTTCAAGAGGAGACAGGTTTGACAGTGGTTAAGAAGGTGAAATACCTAGGGGTATACTTAACATCTAAAAATTTGAATTTGTACAAGGACAACTATGAAAAATGTTGGTCAGAAATTAAAAGAGATCTAGAAATATGGTCAAATTTGAAATTGTCAATGTTAGGCCGAATTGCAGTGATTAAAATGAATGTATTGCCTAGAATGTTATTTTTGTTTCAGACCTTGCAGATTCTCGACAAGATGGAATGTTTTAAGAGGTGGCAGAAAGATATTTCGAAATTTGTCTGGCAGGGCAAAAAGCCCAGAATTAAATTTAAAATATTGACAGATGCTAAAGAAAGAGGGGGGTTTGCCCTGCCGGACTTAAAATTGTATTATGAGGCAGCAGCTTTTTGCTGGCTGAAGGAATGGATGCTCCTCGAGAACACAGACATCTTGGATCTGGAAGGCTTTAATAATGTTTTTGGTTGGCATGCATATTTATGGTATGACAAAATTAAGCAGCATAGTGCCTTTAAAAATCACATTGTTAGAAAAGCACTGTTTAATGTATGGATGAGATATAAAGATCTGTTGGAAAACAAAACCCCTAGATGGGTGTCACCAGTCGAGGCTAAAGCAGTAAAGAAACTCAATATGGAGGTCGGATGGCCGAAGTATTGGGAAATTTTGGAACAGGATGGAGATAAGTGGAAATTACAAAGTTATGACAAATTGAAGGATAAAGTACAAAACTGGCTTCAATACTACCAAGTAATGGAGCTTTTCAAACAGGACAGGAAAATTGGCTTTCAAGTGGATAAATCGAAACTAGAAATTGAACTGTTAGAACCCAACACTAAGAATTTGTCAAGAATGTATAATTTGTTGCTGAAATGGAATACACAGGATGAAACGGTGAAATCAGCCATGATTAAATGGGCACAAGACATTGGTCATGACATTATGTTTGCCGACTGGGAACAGTTATGGACCACCGGTGTTAAGTTTACGGCATGTAATGCCTTAAGAGAAAACATAATGAAAATGATTTACAGGTGGTACATGACCCCAGTCAAGCTGGCAAAAATTTATCATCTGCCCGATAACAAATGTTGGAAGTGTAAAGAGACTGAAGGTACCTTCTACCACCTTTGGTGGACATGCCCGAAGATTAAGGCCTTCTGGGAAATGATCTATAATGAAATCAAAAAGGTACTCAAATGTACCTTCTCGAAAAAACCAGAGGCCTTTCTCTTGGGCATTGTCGGCCAATTGGTGACAAAGAGGGATAGAACTTTCTTTATGTATGCTACAACAGCAGCAAGAATACTCATCGCAAAGTATTGGAAGACCCAAGATCTACCCACTTTGGAAGAATGGCAGATGAAAGTGATGGACTATATGACATTGGCCGAGATGACAGGCAGAATCCGTGACCAACGAAAAGAGACGGTGGAAGAAGAATGGAGAAAATTTAAAAGTTATCTTAAGGACTACTATAAACTTAATGAATGCTAAAATGTTGCGGTTTCCAGAAATAAAGGGATACAGGGATATAAGGTTAGAAATTTAAAAAAGGACTAAGAAGATAGAGATTGGAAAATAACAATTGGGAGTTGCTAGTTGAACTTTGGACACTGGGATGCAGGGGGGGGGGGTATGGGGAAGTCAAAGGAAAGAAGTTTATGAAAATATGTTTGAAACTATACGTGTATGTTTGTCATTTTTGGTGTTTGTTTGTTTTTTGTTTAAAAAGTTTCTAAAACCCAATAAAAATTTTATAAAAAAAAAAAAAAAGAAATCAAAATGATTTAAGATATAAGGACTGGATATTTTTTATTGAATACAGTATATGAAAATTTTTTATAAGCAAACAGTCTACCTAGCAGGATGGTAAGATTTTCAGCAGTGTAAGAAATAACTAAAGTTCATAAAAGTAGCTACAACAGCTGGGGTGAACCAAGGAAACGCGGGAAAAAGAGATAAAAGGAACCATGGAAGGAGAGGAGAGGAAGTGGGTTATGGATTTTTTTTTTTGTCTAGGAAATCTTAAATTGCAACCTCTTTTTTATTTTAGAGATTCTTTTCTTACTGTATTTTTGTCCATATTTTGTTGACATGGAATTATATCAGAAAGTCAAATAAATAAAATTATTTTAAAAACTCAAAAACAAAACACATATTAGGTATAATATAAAAAAATAATAATTTTTTTTTCTTTCCAGTAGCACCTTAAAGACCAACTAAGTTAGTTCTTGGTATGAGCTTTCGTGTGCATGCACACTTCTTCAGATACACTGAAACAGAAGTTGCCAGATTTCAGTGTATCTGAAGAAGTGTGCATGCACACGAAAGCTCATACCAAGAACTAACTTAGTTGGTCTTTAAGGTGCTACTGGAAAGAAAAAAATTTTTTTGTTTTGACTATGGCAGACCAACACGGCTACCTATCTGTAACTAGGTATAATATAGTTATAGATATATTGGTGTACATTAGTGCCACTGGTAGCTGATGATACATTCCAGGGTCCAGACTCTTTCCCCAGAGGCACAGGGCATAAGGAACTACAGATGGATGCATAATCTTCCTGATGGAAAAATATGCTAACCCATGATCTGCAGAGCCCCAGGCAGTTAGTGAAATAGTCCATATTCTAGGCTTTCTTCACCACAGGGGCGGGGGTGGGGGCAGATAAATTCAGATGGGCTGGCTTTTGTTCTGTGATGCTATTAGCTACAAGGACATTTGAAACCATTTTTCAATAGGTTATTGTGTGTGTGTGTGTGTGTGTGTGTGTGTTTGCAGAAGAAGAATTAGAAGAATTGGCTATGAAGAAGACACAGTTGCTGCAAAAGTTGGAATCCAATCAGAGACTACTAGAAGAAGCTGAAGTTCTTGAAGCTGCTCAGCCAGGCACAATCAATAGTATGTATACAGTGATTTCTCATGATTTCTGTTAGTCTAAAACATATATAAGTCAGGATTACAGCTAACCCAGGCCCTGTAGACATGGAGAAACCCACACCAGTCCAAAGAGGTGCTTGGCCACCCAAATGATCTTATTCCAAGCCCTGCCTTGATCTGTCCCCCATTGCCCCTTCAGGAGCAAAGGTCCCAGTGGGCCAGATGCTCCAAAACGGCTGTCCTTCCTCAGAGCAAGGCATTTTGGTTGAGGTAGGCATAGAGAGTGCCTGTTCTCCTGTGATTTTGCTGTAACAGCAGCAAACAATATTTAAACTGTCAATCTTTTGGGACTCATGGGCACATTTCCAAATCTGTGTAAACGGTTGTGGGCAAAACCACAGAATGATTGCTGTGCAAGCCTGCCTAGTCACAAAGTACAATAATAAAGGCGTGTATTACCGGTAATTATATGGCCAAATTTATTTTTTAAGCAAGCAAGTTTGATCAGTTAGATCTTGTAATTCTTGCATATTATACATTTCCTGATTCACACTGCAAATCCATATGTTACTCATCTCAACCTAAACAAGACTACCACTTTGTTCCTCCAAATAGCTCTCACACACATATGGAATCCTTGCATTGGTTCCATCCTCTCCATCACTCCTCACAGAAGTATTCTCCCAAAAGCAACTACAGTGGTACCTCAGGTTACATACGCTTCAGGTTACATACGCTTCAGGTTACAGACTCTGCTAAACCAGAAATAGTGCTTCAGGTTAAGAACTTTGCTTCAGGATGAGAACAGAAATTGGGCTCTGGTGGCGTGGCGGCAGCAGGAGGCCCCATTAGCTAAAGTGGTGCTTCAGGTTAAGCACAGTTTCAGGTTAAGTACGGACCTCCAGAATGAATTAAGTACTTAACCCGAGGTACCACTGTATTGCCTGCTCACCCTCTCACCACCTCTTTTTTCAAACCAATTGAGGTCCTGCAGAGCTGGAGAAGGGAGAGGTGAATGCATATGCTGGATGAAAATTAACAGTTTGGGAAGGGATGTTGGAAGATCAGCTGTGCGCTGCAGGCTTTTGAGTTGTTTTCCTCCTGCCTTGCTGTTTTTTATTGATTGCCTCTCCGTTTGGTGTTTTCACTTTGTGCACCATTATGAAGCTTGACAACAATAGTGCTATTGTTTGCTTTTAAAAAAACCCACAACCCTAAACAGGTCTAATAAGTACAGTGGTGCCCCGCAAGACGAATGCCTCGCAAGACGGAAAACCCGTTTTTGAGTTGCTTCGCAAGACGATTTTCCCTATGGGCTTGCTTCGCAAGACGAAACGTCTTGCTAGTCTTGCGATTTCCCCCCCGCTCCCCCCTTTTTCTAAGCCGCTAAGCCGCTAATAGCCTTTTAGCAGCTAAGCCGCTAAGCCTTTAATAGCTGCTAAGCCGCTAAGCCGCTAATAGCGCTAATCCGCTTAGCCGCTAATAGGGTTGCTTCGCAAGACAAAAAAACCGCTAGACGAAGAGAATCGTGGAACGGATTATTTTCGTCTTGCGAGGCACCACTGTATAGGCACTGCAAAGCAGGGTGGGGAATGGCTGAGACAGGGCTGGCCCTGGATGTTTTGTTGCTGCAGGGAAACTTGAAAATGTCTCCCGCCCACTGCCTCTTCCTCTGCAGCCACTGCTGCCTAGAGATAGCTTGGAAAGTAAAGGGAAGCTGGAGAGGAGCAGGTGGTGGCAGCAAGTGCCTGACAATGACCAGCAGCGTGCACCTGGCAGGGGCACAGCAGTGGCCAGATGTAAGCACCTTGTGGCAATGAGCAGCAAGTGTGCTGTGTGCTTCCCTGAGGTGACTGCTCACTGTGCCTCATGGGTGGGCCGGCCCTGGATCAAGACATTTGCTTTCTTCTCTAGAGTGTGTGCATGTTACAATATCAGTTGCTACAGTTGAATCCAAGGGTGGGGGAAGATCAGGACATAGGGTGGAAATTTTGTGCTTTGATTTCCCACCAGAAACTCAATATTCCAAAACCTATGCTGGTTAATTACAAATAGCTGCCACTGCCAAGCAGCAAAGTCTGCAGTTCCATGCCTCTGTGGCTTTGCCTTCATGGCTTCCTTCTTCCAGTCCTTTCCTCTCACATGTTCACTAGTCGTCTGAGTGAGAGATACCAGCTACTCACCTCCCGCTTGCTCTGTGCAACCACACCCCGACCATCACAATTGGTTGAGGTCAGCCATAAGCAATACTCCACCGAGTCCCAAATATGTGTCCTGCTGGGTAAAAAATGGAGCATTGGGCCTTGCCTGAAGCAACACCTTGCCTGAAACACTTTTACACAGGAAAAAAATACCCTTTCCCTGGGAGAAAGATGGGCTTGCTCAGGGATGGAGGCAACTGGCAGAACTGATTGGGGGAAGAAAAGTGTGCATTCTTAGCACAGAGGTCAAACTGACCTCTGGTGGAAAGCAAGTGTGCCTTGCACAGGCAGTGACCATTTTAGGCACGTCCAATATGTGTGCAACCACACACGCATGCATCGCACTGAGCCTGAAAGTGACCCAAAAAATCACAAAAAGGTGTGGGGCGGGGGTGGAATTAGGTGTTTGCAGGCTTTTTCAATGGTGTTCCAAATTTCAAACACACAGTTCCTTGGAATGTAACCCCCATGTAAACTGGGAGTTGCCTATACTGCAGGTTGCGACTGGAGGGTGCGGTGGGCTCTGGAAGGATGCTGCCTCTGCCCTCATTGAAGAGCTTCCACTGCTTAAACAATCAGGACTTAAAGCCTTCTAGACTGCACCAGAACCTAATCACCAAGCTCTAATATGCTACATGATATCAATAAATGCCATTGCTTGTTTTTGTATGTCATTATAAAGAAAAAGGAAAAAGAAAAAGAAAAAGCAAGCTCCCTGTCAGGTTTTGCATGATATCTGCACTTTCCAGGATATGTTCCAGGATACGTTCTATGTAAGAGTTAGCTCTCTGTGCAATATGATGAAAAAAAATGCTGCACTGTGTTATAGAATTTCTGTCTGCATTACTGTGATAGTGCTAAGCATTCCTATTTAAAATGGTTAGATAATTTTGTATACTAATTGCACTTTGTAATGTTTTTATTTCAATTGCATTAATAGTGTGTTATGAATTGGCCTGAAATTTTTTTGTAGAGCATAAACTAAAGGAGGTAACTGAGGAAAGAAAACGTTTGACTGCAGAACTAGAAGAAATTCTACACAAGATGGTACTAAAAGATGTACAGCTTCAGGTTTCAAAACCACCTGGTAAATACTGATTAAATTACACTTGTAGGTGCTTAAGTATTTTATGTTGATTTAATCCACGATATTAACTTTTAAAGATATTTACGTACTTAAGATACTTTGGTGGACAATTGGCATACAAATATTGTAAATAGATAAAAGGTCAACTTTTGTATTTTCAGGCGCCCTACAATTTTTGACACTTTCAGAAGAATTTCAGTTAGCCTTTACCCCTTGCTTTAAAAGCTGCAAGGATGGATGAAATTTGTCTTGTTACAAAAGAAGCAAGTTTTTACATTTGAATATGTTTCTTCATTTTATGTGAAAATGGGTGATATCCAAGTTCATCACACTCTGAGTAGGGACGCGGGTGGCGCTGTGGGTAAAAGCCTCAGCGCCTAGGGCTTGCCGATCGAAAGGTCGGCGGTTCGAATCCCCGCGGCGGGGTGCGCTCCCGTTGTTCGGTCCCAGCGCCTGCCAACCTAGCAGTTCGAAAGCACCCCTGGGTGCAAGTAGATAAATAGGGACCGCTTACTAGCGGGAAGGTAAACAGCGTTTCCGTGTGCGGCTCTGGCTCGCTAGAGCAGCGATGTCACGCTGGCCACGTGACCCGGAAGTGTCTCCGGACAGCACTGGCCCCCGGCCTCTTGAGTGAGATGGGCGCACAACCCTAGAGTCTGTCAAGACTGGCCCGTACGGGCAGGGGTACCTTTACCTTTACCTTTTATGTTTCTTCATTTTATGTGAAAATGGGTGATCATAGAATCATAGAATCATAGAGTTGGAAGAGACCACAAGGGCCATTGAGTCCAACCCTCTGCCAAGCAGGATATCCAAGTTCATCATACTCTGAGTAGATCCATTGAAATGAAGGGACTTCGGTGAGTCTACTTTGAGTATACCTTAGTTGGATATCATCCTCACTTAGCAGTTAGGACATTTTTTTCAAGAGATAATTCTAAAATATTCCTATTCATAGAGAAGGAATTATATAAACTGTCAGAGTGGAAGCAACATTTATTGGACAGTTTGGAATCCAACCTGAAAGAGCTAGAAGAAGCTTGGGCTCTTGCAGCTACCCAACCAGGCCCTAGCAGTGGTATGTATATGATTATTTTTGCTGCTAGTTCTGTTAATATCTTAAAGATACAAACCTGAAATGCAATGTCCTTCTATTTCAGTAGATATTATCTACTGATACAGATATTCAGTACTCTGCTGTTCTACAACTCAGACGGAACAGCTATGATGAACAGTCAAATATTTTAGAAAGTTCAAGAATCTAGTTGGCTTTGTAAGTCTCTAGGAATAGAACCTATTGTTTTCCATCCTGACAGGGACGTTAGAATGTAGAAATCTGTGTCTTCAAAAGGTAATACTGACCATCGTGACCTTTGAGTTCTTTCTCCTTCTGTTGAACATTAGACATTCACATTCCTTTATTATATGGAAAGCACATAACATATTAAGTACAAAAAGACATGACAACAACAGTGAAAATGGTGCTTACTTGAGTGGGTAGGTAATGAGATTAATCTACAGCTGGGCAAAAAGAAGAGCACAGTTTCAGCCAAAATTAAACCATTCTTAGTCCAATTGGCAATTCTACTCCAGTTGTCCTTTCTTATGAATACATAAAATCACTGCTGATTAATGATAGAGGTTTTTTTTACTCACTATCTTTCAGCTTGGGTTTGCAACACTGCTTGTGTTATTTCATATTTAACAGAGTTGAATGGTAACTTGAGACATTTTAAACATTCAAATGATTTTTGTTGAGGAAAAATGAGGTAACAGTCAAACACAGAAAAAATACTTAATGCAGCAACTTCAGAAAGACAAATGGTCGTTAGGTTTAAATGTATTGCATTTATGTAATATAATATTAATTGTATTATCTAATATTAAAGTTCATGCCAACATCCTTAGTAATATCCTTAAAGTGTTTCTAAACAAATTGTGGAAAATTGTCATGTAGATAATCTATTAAAGAAGTTAAATGAGGAAAGAAAGACTTTGATTGAAAACCTGGAAAGAGTTGTGGAAGATTCACAGAAAATGAAATCTCGTCTTTCTGAGACAGGTGGAGTAATAAGACCCATTGGTGAGTACATAATAAATGTGTTTGTACATAATCACAAGTATTATAACTATAGTAATCAAAACAATCTAGAGATTATTATGTATTGAAATATTGCCATGAACATAATATTATGTACTGTCATTGTACTCTATATATAATCTCAGAAACTACTTTTCACAATTTATGATCTCCTATGATTCTAGCTGTAAAAATAACATTTAAAACTATGTTTTAATTTTTAAAAACATCTTCATTTCTAGAAAGGGATTTAAGTCATCTTTTACAGAAGAAAAAACTGTTTTTGGAACGCTTGGAATCAAATCTCAAAAACTGGCTAGAAGCACAAACACTTGCAGCTACTCAACCAAGCAGTATCAATGGTAGGTATATCATATGTTTAAATATCATCATAATCTTGTGTGTATGCCGTCTTTCCATAGTTAAAACCATGCTCAAGGTTGCTTACACAAATGTTGCAAAAGTACTCAAAACAATAAATAGAACACATTAAAAAGTACACAAACAAATGGAACCATTTTGGTTCAACCTGTGCATGAGCCTGCTGTTGGTTCTGGTTACTGTTGTTTCTGATCTAGGAGGCAGAGAGTGGCTTCTCTCCCAGAAGAAAGCTCTAGGGCACGGGTGTCAAACACAAGGCCTGCGGGCCGAATCTGGCCCGCCAGACCTCGTCATGTGGCCCGTGTAGCCGCCGCCGGCCGCCAGCCTTCACCTTTTATTCTGGCTTTTTTTTTTTGACACAAGAAAGCCGCCTCTTCAGTGCATGCGCGGCAGCCTACAAGCCAGAGAACGTCTGCCCTCTAGCGGCGCCGGCCGTTCTACACAGGAAACCTCCACTTTACATGCATTCAGGAAACCTCCACTTGTTTTTATATTGAGTCCTACAGATACAACCGGCCCTTTGAGGGTGACCAAACTGCTGATGCGGCCCCCGATGAATTTGAGTTTGACACCCCTGCTCTAGGGGATCTGGCTCATAGGCAGCTGTTGTAGGAGGTGTAATCCCAATTGTCTGCAATGCCCTCAGGAATGCCCAGTGAAGAGACATTCACGAAATAATAAACTTCTGTTTCCACCCCCAGAATATGCCTATTGACCAAATGTATTTAAAATATATATTTATAAACATTTTTTTACAATAAAAGTTGTCATTTTATCCGGGACTGTTATTTAAAACTGAGGTTGTAAGTGAATTATTCTACCTTTCTCAGTTTTATATGCAACAGCTAACATGTTCCTTTTTAGATATGGCTGTCTTTATTCTAGAACAAATGAGAATGAAGAGAAAGCATCACTGACAGTACAAGAGAAACAAGCAACACAAAAATCACCCACCCCAACTTCGAATTTGGTTGCTAACTTCTTTCCCCTTGAGGAATATTTGTGCCTCAGTTGTACTTGCTTGCAACAGTATTGCTATTGCACGGTAGAGAAGAATTATTTATTCCAAAAGACAAATGACACCTTGCAGGATAATCATCTTGCAGTTTGAAGGCTATGTTAAGAAATACATTTCTATTGTTGCTAAAACCTTCTTCCTCCCCGTTTTTTGTAGAGAAAAAATTTCAACACCTCACTGAACAAAGAAGGCTTTTGGCTGCAGGCCTGGAAGCAATTATTCAAGATATACAAAATATACAGGATACTGATTCAGAAAAACAAATGAAAGACAGAGGTGAATATAGAATATGTGACATATTTAATTGCAGAATCCATTCTTTCATTAGTGGAGGTAATTATTGAAGGTTACCGTGTCACTTTGTGATTGAAGGCAGGTGAAGTGGGCAGCTCCCAGAATCCAGTTCAATTTCCTGCTTTTGTTGAAATGGTTGCATTTATATCTAGCTCCCTCTTTACTTAGGCTATTTCTATTTCCTTTTCAAATTTTTCCTTAGCTTGTTCCTCTTGTTCTTCCATTTTCCCACCACACTACTCTTTCTCTGGAACTGCTTGTGGTTTGCCTCAGTGTATCTTCTCCACCCTTACCCCTCTGCTCTTCCTCTTTTCTCTGAGAAGCCCTCTGATTTCTGTTTTTCCATGGCTCTCTTGCCCCGTTTCTTTCAAAACTCAGAATCAAGAATAAAGAAATCTCTCTCTCCCTCCCTCCCTCTCTCTCTCTCTGGCCCTCCTTCCTACCTTAGCCATTTTAGCAGAAGGAAGGATAGCATGTGTGATGGTTTTTTCCGCTGTACCTAACCTCTCTCTTATCTGTGAATCCTGAATGTGAGAGTAGGGAGTGGAGTGAAGGTTCATAAGTAGAAGAGCAAAACTCTCATCCATTATTCCTACTTTGTTCCTTTAGTATGCAGAGTTTGGGGGGCAGTTGGTATTAACAACAACCTTGCTGAGCCCCCTTCTGCACCTTCTAAGGGAGCAGCAGTAATAGTTGAACCAAAGCCTTCTGTGAAATCACTTCCAGTTCCCAGTCCTTTCAAAACCATAACCAAGGCTGAATAGTACTCCCCTTTATTAGTCTGTTTCTATGGCTGACAAATTTGGTAATTTAGAGTTCGAATTTATGGACATGCTGAAGCTTCCGGCCATTGACACACTTGTTTCTTAATTCATTGCCTAAAGGAATTTCTCCTGCCTAAATATGAGGATGCCCAACTTCTACTGAGAGGAGGCTGGACTTGCTCTCTGCAGGTTTCATGAGACAGCAGCCCTAACCATGTATACTTCTTGCTTTGCTTCTATGTTAACTTGAGCTTCCCTAATATGGCTGGATGACCTCCTTGGCAATCCTCATCAGGACCAGCCCATCCTCAAGATATACAGAGCAACAGCTTTTATGGATGATGCCACACTTGGCAGCACACAATTTGCGGCTCACTCTCTGGTGTCAGAAGGAGAACCTATGGTTGAAGCACTGGGATGCTGATACCACAGCTAGAGTTGACTTATGGGGCAAATTTTCAGGGAATATGCCCTTAAAGATGGCTTAGTTAAATCTTGCAACAGAAGGAGGTTCTTGTCTTTTCTTGCCTGGAGAGCTATTTCTTTTGTTGTTTTCCTTCATATGACGTTCATGGCTTTTGTCCACGGGGCATGGATTCCATACCCAACCACTCTTGCTGAAACTAATCTTACTGCTCTGCAAGGCCCCAGCAAGATCCTAACACTGGTAGAGGGTAGACCCCCTCTAAAGGGGGTCACAGCAATGATGCTAGTCTGCATCCAGTGGGAGGTAGTCTTCAGTCTTCAAATGTCTGGCAAGCCCAAGACCTCAGACAGATGGGTACTCAACTTCAGGGCTACAGGATTTATTTTCTAGCCCATCGCCAGCACCTTGCTTTGTACAATCTCTGGTTTCCAAATGACCAAAGAAGGAATGCCACCCAGCACCTTCGGAACATGGCAGAAATTGTGCCAGTTACTTCAGGGGGAGTCCTTCTTCAACATCTAATGGTGCTGAAGTCTCTAAGGCAGCTACATAAGCATCACCTAGCTCCTTTACTAGAAACTACAGAATTGACCCAGAAATCGTAGATCCTGCCCAACATAGGGAAGCTTAATATCACCCCTAAATCTCATAAATAACTACATAAATAAAAATAAAGATGACCTTCTACAGCAACACGAGAAAGAATTGCTGGTTCCTATCTGAATGGTAATTCTGTGTTGCTTGCAAAGGTCATGAGACCTCACCCTAGTTTCTTGGCCGCTTCATTTAAGTTACCTAGTTTTTAAGTTTTCTAAAAAAATATGTAAAATGTTTAGAATTCTAAACATTTTTATTAGGGAGGGAGGTATTTTCTTCCTCTTTTCTGTGTTTTGTCTTGTGCAGCTGATTTGTTTGAGCTTGATAAGGATGCAAATAGGATTCTGGAAGCTGCCTACTTCTATCAAATTCTCTTTCCTGCCTTCAACTACAAGGTGGTGCCTACAGAACTGCCATTCAGATAAGAACTAGCGGTTCTTTATCACAGCTAAATGTCACTCTGCATCTCATATAATTCAAGTAGCAGAGAAGCATGTAAAACAATTTTTTTAGCTATTAATTGCTTTTTTGTGTTAAATTTTTTTATTGATTCATTTCAAAAGAAAAGTGCAAATATAACCAAAATAAAGAAAACATAGAATCAAAAATGTAAACCATAAAGCATCACAGCCTATAAGGACAAACATACAAAGATATAACACATATCCAAAGGGATAATAAAGTATTAACTCCTACACAGGTTCCCATTGCAAATAATAAAAATACATAAAAGTATTCTCCACCATTGAGTTCTATAATTATTAAGCATAAAGGTTCTATATAGTCTTATGTGAGCCAGACATTTGCATATCCTCATGGTACTGAGTGACCATGTGCCTCAATAGTTGTATAAGAAATAAAATAATGTCATATATTCTAAAGAAACCATTCATTTGAGGTCTGTCCTTTAGATATTTTTAGTTTGTGAGAGATGTTTTCAAGAAAGGCAATTTGCCAAACTTCAGCTAATATTTGTAAAATATTTCTTTGTAGAAATGGCTTTGAAACAACTACATGAAAAAAAGAAAGTGTTTTTGGAAAATTTGAGAACAAATTTTAGACAACTGCAAGAAGCCAAGGCTCTTGCAGCTGCCGAGCCAGGTGGTATCAGTGGTAAGTATTTTACTGGGCAATCCAAGTCATGGGAATGTGTCAAACAGCTCAGCCACCAGTGATCCACCAACTTAATAACCACAGCATCCAAACAGCATTTGGTGGAGTAGTCACTAGCACAACATGCCTATGACTGTATGATATCCACATGCTGCTCTGTGTTGCTTCTGCTCAGCCTCCAGCCAACTCTGCCCCTCCAGTCCACCCTTTCATTACTGCTGTAACTTTCCATTTCTTCTCTGCACACTTCCTTCCTGCCCAGTATACTGCCAAAACACTCCTCTCTCTACCACTACTATGTCCTGGCAACCACTACTGCACACAGGCACTGTTGTCGGAGTCCATTATTGCCCTTGTCACCTCTTGAACTTTGACTCCTACTTGTTTGCTGTCTGGTTCCCCACCCTTTGGTTACCCCAAGGCTGAGCTACCCTTCCACTGGTGTTGTGCCAGGTAGCCTAACCGCAACTGCTGAGCCAGGGTTTCTCTCCCTCCCTTGCTGCCTGTGAACTTTGCCTCTGTGCAATATCGTTTGCAGTATGTCTTGATTTGTGTGTGAAGAGTAGTAGTGGCAGTTGGGGGTCTCCATCCCAGTGGAGCAGTGTTGGGCCACACCAACACAGGATTGCATGGGGAGCCAGAGCAGTTGTAGCTCATCCGGGGTATTTGCCAGTGCTGCCAGCTCTCCATGTGAGGGGTTATTATCTATTATTTATCTATTAAATTTGTATATGGCTCTTTGTATATGACTGGAAAGCCCACCACCTGTCCTCTTGACCCGTGCCCGTCATGGCTGATTAGAGCGTGTCTAGACGAGGTGCGGGCCCCCCTGGGGGATATCATCAATTTGTCCCTTGGCACCGGGATATTCCCAGGGGAACTGAAGGAGGCAGTGGTGCGTCCGCTCTTAAAGAAAACATCATTAGATCCCTTAGATCTATCCAATTACCGCTCGGTTTCGAATCTTCCATTCCTGGGTAAGGTGATTGAGAGAACAGCTTGGTAGGTTTCTGGATGAAACATCGGCTCTGGATCCATTCCAGTCCGGCTTCCGCGCTGGTCATGGGACCGAGACGGCTCTGGTCGCCCTAACAGATGATCTCCGCAGGCAGCTGGATCGAGGCGGGTCGGGGCTGCTGATTCTTCTAGATCTGTCAGCAGCCTTCGACATGGTCGATCACGAACTCCTGGACCACCGCCTTGCTGACGTGGGGATCCAGGGCACAGTCCTTCAATGGCTGTGCTCGTTTCTCTCTGGTCGGGGACAGAGGGTGGCGCTTGGGGGGGAATTGTCATCGCGCCACTCCTTGGTGTGTGGAGTGCCTCAGGGTGCGATACTCTCCCCGATGCTTTTCAACATCTTTATGCGCCCCCTCGCCCAGCTTGTCCGGAGTTTTGGGCTGGGTTGCCATCAGTATGCCGATGACACCCAACTCTATCTGTTGATGGATGGCCATCCTGACCCGGCCCCAGACACACTGACCAGATGTCTGGAAGCTGTGGCTGGATGGTTACGTGGGAGCCGGTTGAAGTTAAATCCTTCGAAGACAGAGGTCCTCTGGCTGGGACGGGACGATATGGGATTGAGGGGGCAACTCCCATCTCTTGCGGGGGTGCAATTAGTGCCAGCACCATCCGTTAAGAGTTTGGGTGTAATCTTCGATACCTCCCTCTCTATGGAGGCGCAGATTACAGCTATAACAAAGGCGGCATTTTTTCATCTCCGCCAAGCTAAGCAGTTGGCCCCTTATCTCTCTTGCCCTGACCTAGCCACTGTGATCCACGTGACGGTCACCTCCAGACTGGATTATTGTAACTCGCTCTACGTGGGGCTGCCCTTGAGACTGACCCAGAAACTCCAGCGGGTGCAGAATGCCGCGGCGAGACTCCTTATGGGGTCTTCGCTGCGAGACCACATTCATCCGGTACTATACCAGCTGCACTGGCTCCCGGTGGAGTACAGGATCAGGTTTAAGGTGCTGGTTTTAACCTTTAAAGCCCTATACGGCCTAGGACCCTCGTACCTACGGGACCGCCTCTCCTGGTATGCCCCACAGAGAAACCTACGGTCTGCAAATAAAAACATCCTAAAGATCCCAGGCCTCAGAGAGGTTAGGCTGGCCTCAACTAGAGCCAGGGCCTTCTCGGCTGCGGCTCCAATCTGGTGGAACGCTCTGTCACAAGAGACTAGGGCCCTGCAGGACCTGACATCTTTCCGCAGGGCCTGCAAGACAGAGTTGTTCCACCAGGCCTTTGGTCAGGGCGCAGCCTGACTCCCTCCTCTGGCAACCTGCACAGAATTTTGCTTAATGGTTGCCATCAACTTGATTTTAATTAATTTTTATAATGAAATATTTTTAGAATGTTGGATTATTTGATTGTATGATTATTTGATTGTTGTTAGCCGCCCTGAGCCCGGCTTCGGCTGGGGAAGGCGGGATATAAATAAATTTTTTTTTTTTTTATTATTATTATTATTATTATTCATCTGAGGATCACAGGGTGGTTTACAACAAAAAATGTATACCATAGCAACAAACAATATTCCACACCCTTGACCCCCAATATTATTTATCCTGGGTTATGGTTGGCTCAGCAGACTGATCTTGTGGATCAGCTCTGTGACAGCCTGTGAGTGTACCATGAGAGTGTTTGAAAGGTGCTCTTTGTTGTCCAGAGAGCTGCTGCCAGGTGCTTGCTTGGGATTGAGGCCTGAGAGATTTGTATTAGTGATACAGTGGTACCCCGCAAGACGAACGCCTCGCAAGACGGAAAACCCGCTAGACGAAAGGTTTTTCCGTTTTGGAGACGCTTCGCAAAACGAATTTCCCTATGGGCTTCCTTCGCAAGACGAAAGCCCATAGGGAAATCTCCGGGACAGGGCGTCTTGCCCACTGTCCTCGGACCTCCTCCCGCCGCCAGGCTTCGGAAGGCTGCTCTGAAGCCTGGCGGGGGGCGGAGAGGTTTTTTAAAAACCCTGGGACAGCGGAGGACTTCTCCGCTGTCCGGGGCGATTTTAAAATGCTGGCGGGCGGCAGCGCTGCCGCCCAGCAGCATTTAAAAAAACCCTGGGACAGCGGGGGACTTCTCCTTTGTCCCGAGGTTTTTTAAAATGCTGGCGGGCGGCAGCGAAGGCTTCGCTGCCGCCCGCCAGCATTTTAAATTCGCCCCGGACAGCGGAGAAGTCCCCCGCTGTCCCGAGGTTTTTTTAAAATGCTGGCGTCTTCCCCTTTCTCCCCGGACGTCTTTTGAAGCAAGGGGCGGCAACGCGGAGAAGCGATCTTCTCCCCGTTGCCGCCCCTTGCTTCAAAAGAGGGGACAGAGGGAAAGGCGCGCGCCTTCCTCTCTCTCTCCCCGGACCCCTTTTGAAGCAAGGGGCGGCAAAGGGGAGAAGCGATCTTCTCCCCGTTGCCGCCCCTTGCTTCAAAAGAGGGGACAGAGGGAAAGGCACGTGCCTTCCTCTCTCTCCCCCCGGACCCCTTTTGAAGCAAGGGGCGGCAAAGGGGAGAAGCGATCTTCTCCCCGTTGCTGCCCCTTGCTTCAAAAGAGGGGACAGAGGGAAAGGCGCGCGCCTTCCTCTCTCTCCCCCCGGACCCCTTTTGAAGCAAGGGGCGGCAAAGGGGAGAAGCGATCTTCTCCCCGTTGCCGCCCCTTGCTTCAAAAGAGGGGACAGAGGGAAAGGCGCGCGCCTTCCTCTCTCTCCCCCCGGACCCCTTTTGAAGCAAGGGGCGGCAAAGGGGAGAAGCGATCTTCTCCCCGTTGCCGCCCCTTGCTTCAAAAGAGGGGACAGAGGGAAAGGCGCGCGCCTTCCTCTCTCTCCCCCCGGACCCCTTTTGAAGCAAGGGGCGGCAAAGGGGAGAAGCGATCTTCTCCCCGTTGCCGCCCCTTGCTTCAAAAGAGGGGAAGGCTGGCGGGGGCGAAAATCTTTGTCCCCCTGGCTGCCTTCCCGGGAGGGCTTTTAAATCGCCCCGGACAGCGGAGAAGTCCTCCGCTGTCCGGGGCGATTTTAAAATGCTGCCGTGGGGGGGGGAGCAAAGACTTTCGCCCCCCCCAGCCTTCAGAAGAGGTCGGGGGACAGATTGTCCCCGGACCTGGTCTGAAGTCGGTTTCCATAGGAACGCATTAATTGATTTTCAATGCATTCCTATGGGAAACCGTGCATCGCAAGACGAAAAACTCGCAAGAAGAAAAAACTTGCGGAACGAATTAATTTCGTCTTGCGAGGCACCACTGTAGTTGTCTCCCCTCTTGTATGCTAGTGAGGTGAACTCTGCTCAAAGTGTGACATCTCTTTTGCAAAGTGCCCAATATTTGTGCCCAGTGCCCCTGAGAGGACACAGTGCCCTTCCACTGTAGTGATCTCACCCTGAAGCCCCACTCTCATGATGAAAGTCCTCACAAAGTTCTTCTCTGTGTTTACAAGTCATGTGAGTTGTGCTTGATACATGCAAGATTTACGTCCTTCTGGTGCTATGATTGGCTGCAGGGTTCTTCAGCATTTGAAGTGCTCCCATAACATCATAGTGGCCAGCAAGTGGGGGTATCCTTTTTCTTCTAAATTAGGGTTTCTGGCTTTGGTCTCTGGCTGTTTTTAGATTTCAGTTCCCATCATCCCTGAACATTGGTCCTGCTAGCTAGGGTTGGTGGGAGTTGTAGTCCAAAAACAGCTGGAGGGCCAAGTTTGGGAAATCCTGTTCTACATCATACCCATGTAGGTTCTGAGCATCATGCTTCACATTTTTCACATGTGAAATGGGTATTTTGTGGTGCCTGACAACCAGCTGGTTATTGGGAACCTTTGAAGTAGTAAGCAAAGTACAAACCCAGCACTAAGCATGACTGATCTCTCTTCACCTCACCTGATGCAAAGGGAGAGCAATCCTGTTTGCTTCAGTTGCTCCATAACAATATGACATGTGGAACCAAAAGGTTTCCCCATCCCTGAGTTAAGCCATGAGAACAAGTGATTGATGTTTTGGTATTTTTTCAAATTGAACTGAATAAAGGTTGCAACACAAGTATTGTGCAACAACCACCTCCCATGTTCACTTACTCCACACAGAGAAGCAGATACTAGTGTGCTCCCAATTGTACACTGGCAACGGAAAGTAGGTTTCCATTCTACTATCCATCAGCTGGTATGTAGGACCTTGGATCTAAGTAATCCTTTCTGGCAACAGTCCAAGAATCCTCTGTGTGTCTTACAGTTCCTTTTACTGCACAGTTACCACTATACTTTTCTCATCTGTTATGCCTAATGCCTAAATTGTTCAATCTATAATCTACATCCTTTTCCAAAAAAATGGTATATCTCATCTTTTATGTTAGTGTAAAATAAATACATTTTGAGTTATATTATATTCCTTTTTGTAGAGCTAAAGGTACAAGAGCTCATTCAGCAAAGAAGACTTTTGACTGCAGGTTTAGATGCAATTATGCAAAGCATGCAAGAGATAGAAAATCTTATTGCAGGCAATGTGGAAGTAGCAAAACCCAGTGGTGAGTATGAAATTTAAAAAGTCATCAGACATGCAATACTTCAGAATCCTATTTTCACCTAAGTAGTATGTGATAGAATGATGTGCTCAAAAATTCTCATCTCAGCTCCATACTGGCAAGCCTCCCTGATATGGACAGGGCCAGTTGCACTCCACAAGGGCTGTTGCTTCTTTCACTGCATTCCTCCATGGAATCCTGTTGCCAGACTTCTGACATAGTTACAGCCCTTGACATCTGCCCACCATTACCAGTGGACACTTCCAACAAAACTGTGCTCAGCTCTGTAGTCTTAACAGCAGTGCTGCTTCCAGTAAGTTTGCTACTCTATCCATATGTGTGAATGTACAGAGACCATGAATAAGAACAGGGTGATTGCCTGCATTTGTAGTTCTGCAGTTGTTTGTGCCACTATATTGGTCAAGAATTTGAGCTGTACCCCTGCTGCATCTGCATGGAGGGAAGGGCATCTACCAAAAATCTAGTTTAGCTTTGGAATCTCCCCAAATGCACAAAGTGCGTGTGTGTATACAAATGACAACCTGTTACTATTTATCTTTGTAGAAATTGAATTAGACAGAATATATGAGAGAAGAACATTACTTTTGGAAAACATGGAATTAAATCTGCAAGAGCTGAAAGACCTTGCAAAAGGTGGTGTAAGTGGTAAGTAAAGTGTTAAATTTTAGTATGTTGGGCATTGCTTGGGCACCTGCCCCCCAATCAATAAAAATCAATACAAATCTGAAGTTCTGCCTCCCCTAACAAAAGCCTGCCCCCATAACAAAAATCCTGGCTATGCTCATGTTCTGAGAGTTATATCCAGAGCAAATGTGAGACAGAGGTTGTGTACTCCTGCTCCGTAGAACTCTTTGTGTTTGAAGCCATATACATGTGACATTAGCTACAATTCATATCTATCCTGTAGAGTCTTTAGAAATACTGCTATTTGATGCCTTTTCCTTTAAACCAGTTTTCATAAAATGCACTTCTCAGTTAAACCGAGGTGTGTATATTTAAGACAGTCTGTTGAGTAGGCAATCTGGTACTGTGGTATTGATGCTATTGAGTACCACTACCTAAGATAATGTTATTTTTTATTAATAATCTTTATTTATTTTCATTTTGTATGTCCAAACAAATGCTGTAAAGAAAGAAAAATATGACCAATAACAGAAAAAGGACGATCGATCTTACGTGAATAGTACATTTATTAGGTGGATGATGGGGTATTTGGATTGGACTGTTCCTCTTGCACGAGACTCAGGCAGGAACAAAGAATTGTGGGAGGTAGATCATTTATCTTCAGTTTTTCGGACTCGCCAAGCAGGAGCATTTTCACAAGAATCTCAAAACCAATTAAACATATGGCCTACATGGGTAGATCTTACTGATAACCCTTGAAAACCATGGCTCTTAGAACGGGAGGAATGACTTGAAAGATTGTGACAAGCAATAGAGGACCCTGCTGGGTTTAGATGCTTTGTCTTTCCATTTACTTTCTTCTGCGTAGAACTACTCAAGCCTTGCAGAAACTCTGAGGAAACCATGAAGATTTTCCCTTTGCCGTGAAAGCAGACTGCGGGAGGGAAATAAGCAGCTGAAGGGAACTGTTGATTTCAATATTACTGTAGGCAAGATGTGCCTCAATAGCCCTTTGTGCCGCTGAAGTGGACAGGACTCACTGACATCTCTCCTTTGTGCCGCTGCCGCGGACAGGAGGAAGATGATTTAACGCTGTGTTTTCTGTTGACTCCCCCCCCCCCAACCAGCAAAACCACAATTGTTGAAGTAAAGCCGGTGCGCTGAGTAAAAGGTCCAAAGGATGCTGAGGCAAACATGCAGAGCGGCTGTTAGTTGACAAAGCACGTGGTTGTTGCATCAAGCAGCCCACGCCACAAAAATCATTAATGAAAATGATCCAACCACTGAAACAGCAACTGCCAGCAACAAGAACATAAAAAACAAGAAGGGAGCGAAGTAAAAAATAGAAGTAAAGCAACTGAACACAGAATAGCGAAAGACCTGTAGCAAGGAGAAAGAGTGTTTTGTTTTAACCTTGGCGGAGGACACGTAAAAGTTGTGGGACGTCTACCTCCCACAGTTCTTTGCTCCTGTCTGAGTCTTGTGCAAGAGGAACAGCCCAATCTGAATACTTCATCGCCCACTGTCATAAATGGAACAAATCAAGACAATGTTATTTTAAATTGTGTTTTGTTACATTTTTATTGATTTTTCTACATACTCTTCATAAAGTCTCACATTGTACAACCTTTAGAGGTTTAGACAGCACTCTAGCCTGTGTCTTCAAGCAGCTCATATATATTTATTTATATGGGCTTACTGCATCCAATTGCTTTTGATGCATAAAATCTTTGCCAATCTGTACAATCTGTACCAATTAGTACTTGGGTACTAATGATTTCTGTCCACTATTAGATACTAAAATGAATTTGTACAATGTGGCTGTATTAAATGGTATTAAAATTTAGTCTCCTTCAGTGCAACGTGCCCTCTGTAACAGCACCATTTTTTTAGTTTACTTTTATAGAGAACAGTTCTGAAAATGTAATTAGTAACTATCTTTTATCCAGAGAAGAAAATACAGGCGATAAGTGAGAAAAGAAACCGTTTGATTTCTAGTTTTGAGGCAATTCTTCAAAATATGGAAGAAGCACTTAGTTTAGACCAAGGAGCAAGGACAAGACCTGATGGTAAGTCCAAAACAAAATTCCATGGAAATGGTGCTTCAGAGACATTGTCACAATAACTTCTGATTGCAGTTTGCTTAAAACCTAGAGCATTTTGTTCTACAATACCTTTTCTGAGGATAATGTTTATTGACAGTAAATGCTGTTGTCTCTTGATTTTACTGTTTTATCTTTTGTAAATCATTTCGAGGTTTTTTAAGCAAGCAGGGTATAATTCTTTATTAAATATATAAATAAATACATAAATAAATATCTCTATCCTCACAATGAGAACACAATCCTGTTTTCATGGAAGACCAACTGAAAGGATTACAGGTTGCATTTTCTGCTGTTCTTTTCTATAGCTCTGAAAAATGCCAAATAGGACCTGCCACTTTATTCCATCCTACTATTTCAGAATTCTCTTTGCTACAGAATCTCAATGTTATATGATTCCAGTTTTAAAGGAAATAATAAATATTAATAAATATTGCTTTCTGTTATTGAATATAATCATTTTTACATGTCCTAGAGAGAAATATCAGTGATCTCATAGAACTTTCCAATCTAGAATCAAAACTGGATGAGATGCAAAATCTAGGAGTTTTTACAGGCTTTCAACTGGATACTATAAGTGAGTAAAGAATTAACACCTTCTGTATACAGTAGCATGTATTCCAAACTGGATTTAGGCTGTGGTTTGCCTTTTTTAAAAACAACTGGTCTATAAAGAACACAATATAATTTCCTTAGTAGATAGATGCAAAAACCGCTATTATATATAACAAAACATCTTTAAAGACATTTTTTTCTCCATTTAGTTCATTAACAACTATTTTATTTTGTTAGGGAAAAAAATGTGCAAACTAAAAGAACAAAAAAAGAAATTGATTAGTAAATGGGAAAAATATTTTCTAAAAGAGTATCCAGAAGGATATATACCTGAACGTAAGTACAAATATGATTATATTATTGGGTTATTGGCAATTTTAATGTCTTATAATTAATTCCTGTTGAGTATTTTTGTTCACCTGTGAACGTTAGTCAAGAAACAGCATTTTAAATGCATTATACACATGTAACACCAGATGACGCCAAAGGGTATTTTTCTTTTGTTATAACAATTTAATTTTTTGACTTATTTATAGTGTTTTTTCCTGTGTGTAGATCCACCTCTGGTCAATAATATTCTGCTTCTTCAGGTGTATCTGAAGAAGTGTGCATGCACACGAAAGCTCATACCAAATTCTGCTTCTTGTAAGCCAAGGATGGGGAACCTCCAGCCCATCAGGCATTTCTGGACTGCAGGATCCCCATCATCCATGACAATTGGCTATGCTGATTAGGGCTGATGGGAGATATAATCCTACCACGTTTGGAGGGCCACAGGTTTTCTCATTCCTGTTGTAATTCTTCTTTTCCATCCTCTTTCCTACCTAGTTTACTGTAACTGTACTAAAAATGTTCAGTGCTGTTTTTCTAGAAAAAGAGGTTCTGGAACTCACCATGAACACATCCCTTGTTCTATTATAATGACAATGGCACCCATCTGAGAGGTGCTGGAACTGAGTTCCAATGAGTTCTAGCTGAAAAAAGCCCTGAGAATGTTCAACACAACTACACGTGTCTTCAACTTTGGGGCATTGCCTTTTTTAATTCCCTGCTACCAGCTTGCAGATATAACATGTAAATGTATTGTGATAGAAGGTGAACTAGCATGATTTACTAATCATTATTACCTGATAGTTTTTCTTCCCTTCCTTACCATGCTTCCAGCTCCCTACTACCTCCTCCCTGCCATGGGGAAGCCCCACCCCATAGCTCCTCATAGTAACTGTATCTTGGAATTCCTTTGAAGCAACTCTCTCCAGCATTCCCTCTCCCACCTCCTTGTGCTGACTTACCTGATGGAATGCACACATTCACCATAACTTCTGTAAGTTAATAGGTGCCAGGTGAAAGCACTCCTCTTCTCCCAGGCCTTTGGGCAAATTAAACTATCTGTGGCTTTTAAACATGTGTGTATTGTTTGGTTTGCATTTTTGTGGTTTTACACTGTACACCAGGGTGTATGGGATGTTAGGGGAGGGGTAGTACCTTTGGTGGGGGGATCATCGTGCTCCTTCTGGGGTAGTTTGACCACCTTTGTCCCCCACCCTGCACTCAGCTCTCACCTGTGGCTCATAGAAGCTGTCAGCATGCAACAGCAGCCACACCCTGGGAAGGGCTTTGACTGGCTGGCTAAACCAGATGAGAGTAGTAGATGGCCTCAAACCACCGTTGAGTTAGGGACTTCCCATGCATGTGAAGGCAGGCTCTGGTGGATTGAGTAGATGAGACCAATTGTGGATACAACAGTCAAGAAAGCAGTTTCTGCACAAGCTGTAGAGGGAAGTGAGGAGCAGGTGGGGCTCATCAACTTGGGAAATTAGCCCATCTAGGAGAAGGAAAACTCTGATCCTAAACCTCTACTGCCTTCCAGGGTATCTTTGGGAGAAGAAACAGCTAAGGAGTAAACCTTACACAAATCAGGAGTGTAGGCTCTAAGATGGTTGGATGGTGCCTTGTATGCCTTCTTCTGGCAGCTCCTGCTGCCCAGCTGGTGCCAAACATATTGCTCTGCTTTCCTTTAGACCACATCAGTGAGGATGAGAGGGAGGTTTTGTCACCTGGGCAGCCTAGGACCTCCATACACGTTGCCCAGGTTTGAGCATTGGGGAGGTCACTTCAGAGCTGCTTATGCAGCAATTTGACTTCACCCCTGGAGATGCACTCCACTGTCTCTTGAGACAAATGGGTGCCAGCAATACTGTAAGCCACTGTGTGATCCTTGGACAAATGATTGTATGTAAATTTAATAAATAAAATAATAAATAAAAATACTTACCTTACACAAAAGTACTGTGCCTTCCCCCAAAAGCTATATCCTTCCTGACGTTCAAAACCTCTTCATTCTTTTATCTTTATTTTCAAAGGCCCAGTCTACATATTACATCTATCACAGAGAAATGTCAACAGATGATGGTGATAAGTTGTTATTGTATACAAAACACCATTAATGTTGAAGGTGTTTTACAGAGTACAAAAGGTCACATGCCTACCACAATGGCATCACAATCTAAAATTCAACATGGGATACAAATGAAGAAGGGAGGAGGGAGTGGAGATGGGAGAAACATGGGAAGAATGTGTGATTATAGTAGTTACATGTAATTAGACTTAGTTACAGCATGGTATGTGAACTAGGGCAACCTCATGGATACAGTGGCAGTTGAGGATAGGTTTTAGGTCAAAAGATTGGTTCTGGGAGGCAATTCTAGACATATGGCACAGCATGTGAGAAGAGTCAAAATTGTTTAAGAGAGCAGGGAACCTTTGGATAATTGAGAGTGGAGAAGCTCTGTAGCACTGGTAAACATGTACTGCTTTCTCATCACATGGAGTGCCTCTGTGGCAGTGCCTTATGCTTTTGGATGGGATGGCACTGGCACAAAGTTTTATTTATTTATGATTAGTATTTGTTTAATTTATATCCCACTCTTCCTCCCCAAAGGAGCCCAGGGCTCTTGCCTCATGTGAAGTTAAATTAAATTTTTCACTAAAGGTTTGCTTTTGTTTTTGAAGCCACCAAAAAAGGCAAAACACCCAAAGAATTAGCTGGGAAAGGTTTGTTCTCATATTTGCGATCAAGTATCAAAGATCTGCAAGAACAAGGCATTATTCGGCAAGATAGCATGTCTGGTAAGTATTGTAGTCAAACTTTCTGTGTTTCTTTGAGTTTTCTGAACAGATAGACTAGGGCAGGCTAGGGCTAGACTAGGGCAGATAGACTAGGGCAGTCCATGGGTTGCATTAAAGCTCCAAAGAGCTTTTGTGGTCCTTCTATAATGCCGACAAAATTTGTCATTTTAAATAATAAAAATAGTTGTTGCAGTTGTTAATTAAAAATCTTCTTATTGCGTCTACGGGATCCCAGCTGTGATGCCAGCCTTCAGAGGGCTCTCAGCACCAATAGGCCACTCTACTATCACATGGCCACATGCAAGCCACCTCATTATGGGGGCAGTGCTGCTTTCTTCCTCTTTCTTCTGCTGCCTCCATTCCTCTCCTTTCCCTCTGCCCCCTCTTAATTTTTTTTTTAAATGTTCATTGCCACCATGTCAGCCCCATTTGCTAGACACTTTGACTTTGAGACAAGGCCAAAGGCAGGGGTGGCACGTTCCATTTCACTGCTCTGAAAATGTATAAAACATTTATTTTCTGCCTCCTTGGTCTCCCTTTCTTTCTGCTGTTCTTCTAGTTTTATTTTAACCTGCTATTACAACAAAGGTGTACAAACTAGTTTTTGCTTTTTTGTGGGGGGGGAGGGTTCAGGCTGGTGAGCAGGTATTTGGTGAGGCTAGGTAAGAAAGTTTTTTTTAATGTGTGTGTTATTTTCTGTACTCCATATGGTCTTAAATTGCTGCTTTTTTTGTTAACTTACATCCTATTGGGTTTTAGGATCTTCTTGGTGTTCTTATTTCAAATATTTATTTATTTATTTCTGCTTTAAAGTATTTGTGTGCGTTTTGGGGGGGAAGTCCAATGCCCAGACAGTTGTAGCAGGGTGGGGCAGGGGAGTTTGTTTTGTGCTAGTTAAGGAAGATGCAGGCACAGAGTTCTGTGCTTAGGCATGTATATGAAAGGTAAAAGCAGGAGGGGTGGTATTATAGCTAGGAGGGTCTTAGAAACCCTTCATTTAGGCACCCTTCTTCCTAACAGTTATATTTGGTGTTCTTCAAGACACACAAAAGGTAAAGGAAGTTGAGTTAGTCTGTAAAAACAAAAAAAAAACCCCAAACAAAATCCATAGTCAGGAAGCCATGACTGAAGTTTCAATCATCCCAGTCCCATTTAAAGGATGCAAGGGGCTTGAGTTTGATTTATTGGGTCACTTAAGTTTGTGTGTGTTGGTGCTTTATTGTACACCTGTACATCTTTCTGTACATCTTTTCTGTACACCTGAGTGAAATTTGAGCTAGGTACAATTAGTAAGTTGTTATTTATTTATTACCCACCCTTAATTCCATAAAGTAAGTATATTTTTCAATAAAAACTGAAAAGTAGACTGCTCAGAAGTTTTCTAAACTTAAAATCACAGAACCATAGAATGGAAGAGTTGGAAGGTACCTGAGGATCATCCAACCCCCTGCAATGCATGAATATGCAGCTTTCCCTATGGGGATCGAACCTGCAACCCTGGTGTTATCAGCAACGTGCTCTAACAGGCTATCCAGGAATAAATTCAAATTATTTTTCTTAGAGGTAGAATTGGATCAGCTAGCAAAAGAAGAAAGAATTGTGGACAGATATTTTGAAGAAGTTCCAATAGAATTCCTGCCTTCAGAGGTTGCTGCTTTAAGTACACAATATGAGGGTGAGTGGGAAGAATATAATAAAGTAGGATTAACATATCTGATGGTCTTGTTTAACAAAATCCAAGAACTTATACAGAATTGTTTGACCCAAGGATATAACTGGGGTTTTTTTTCTGAATGATGAGCAGTCACAGGAATAAGACTTGTAATATATTGTAATATTACAGTATATTGTGTATACTTTGCAGAACAAAACCCCCAGAAAAGGGTTGTTAATATATTCCACAAAATGTGGTAAAGATCACTGGCTTAGAGCTTAGATAGTTTTAAAGGATAGAGGAAAGAATGAATAAATATATTCACCTACATATTCCTGAGCTCCTGATTATTAATATGTAACAAGTAGCAAATTCTTTCATTAGCCCATGGAATTCATTGGTTGTCAGACTCAGAACCAGATGTATCATTAGGCAGAATAAGACAACCATTTCAGGTGACAGATACTTTTGGGGGCGGGGTGAGAACACGGATGCAGCAATGCCCTAGCTGTCCTCTTCTGTTGGTGCGTGGCATTTGGAATGACCTGCTGCATCATTGTGTAACCAAAAATCATGGTGAGATAAATTGCTGTTTTATCAAGGAACTAATGCTTGATTCTTATTACATCTGAGTATTTTGAGCTGAACAAATTTATATTCCAAACCAGGTTATGTTGTCATCATGTCTAATTTGGCTTTCGAAGAAAAGACAGTTGTACCTTGCAAGTCAAACGGAATCCGTTCCGGAAGTCCGTTCGACTTCTGAAACGTTTGGAAACCAAAGTGTGGCTTCTGATTGGCTGCAGGAAGCTCCTACAGCCAATTGGAAGCCACAGAGGCCCCATCGGATGTTCAGCTTCCAAAAGAACGTTAGAAAACTGGAACATTCACTTCCGGTTTTTGATCGTTCGGGAGCCGGAACGTTTTGACTCCCAAGGTGTTTGGGAGCTGAGGTACGTCTGTACTGGAGGCTAGCAACCCAATGATTCTTTGCAGTTTTCTACTTTTATGAATAATAGAGCTAGTGAATAGGTTTTACGGTGCAGTTGACTCTCATCTTTTGTGCAGGTTATGTTCTAGGGATAGCATGTAAAGCCAAAATAACATATAGTCAAAACAACCCTTTAAAAACCAGAAAATGGCTTGTAAAAAGCACAGTGCAGCATTTACTGGTGCCTGACGACTGCATTACTTAGTCTGTACACTCTCTAACTGCACTGCTAAACACTCTCTCTGCACCTCTGAACACTCCCAAGGTGAGTTCAATGAAGGGTGGGATTATCGATGTTTTCCCTGCAATACCCACTCACCCCCTTTTCCCCAGTCAAGCACTTAAAGCTGAATTCACACAAGTTTAATGTGCATAAGTTGAGAGTCAGCTATGTAAGAAATCTAACATTCTCTATCTGTTGGAATTGCATACAGAATGTGTTTGACATGTACTGGTTCCAGCTTCAGAAAATTTTCAAAACTTGTTGTACACTTTTTTGTTTTGTGTAATTGCAATTTACTCTACTACTTCTGGCTGTGGCTTTCAGAGACTCTGAAATATAAATAAGCCCCTGTGATCCTATATAGTTCCTGTGATTAAGTATATTTTATTTGTTTTATCTTATAGATGAGAAATCATTAAAACGAAGGGCTTTGGCTGCAAAATTGGAGGCAAATATAAGAGATCTTCAATCTGCTCTTCAAGTAGATAAACTAGAAAAACCTAAATTTGAGAGTGAGTGCAGAGGCAAATTATATAGCAGACACATCTTTTGCTCAGAAAATAGTTAATTACACAGTCTTTTGTCCAGGGCTTTTTTTTCAGCTGGAACTCTCTGGAACCCTTCTGGCCCCTCCCTCCCAGTTCTGGCCCCTCCCAGGTGTGTGCCATTGCCTTTATAAGAGAACCAGGAAAGCACTTCTTTTTGTAGAAAAAACAGCACTGCTTTTGTCAACCAATAGATAAAACTATAAAACATGGTTAAACAATGTCCCACAGTCACCAGAGAGTTGGATCAGTTGCAACAGGAAACCATCTATGTCAGCTCTTAAATGCCTGCTGAAAAATTTCGGTTCCACCAGTTATAGCTTTCCACAATGGTTATTTGTTGTCTGCTGTTATCTTTGTTATATTATTTTTATTGTGCTTTATGTATTATTGCTATAAACCACTTTGATATTTTTTCTTTTTATGATATAAGCAGTATATAAATATTTTATAAACAACTAAATAGAAATACTTAACTACAAGAATGAGTTGCAGCAAGCCTCTTGCTTGTGCATACTGCCCTTCCCCTTTCACACTCACAAGGTGGAACTGCTCATGGGTGTGAAGCACAGTGATATCAGAACTCAGGGAACTGTAAACGTATATTTACATATGTTTCCTAAGCATGGTTAAATTCAAGTGTTCTCATCTGTGGATGCTGACTTGAGTAGAAAAATTATGTAGAATGTGTACATACATTTATGAGGGTCACTCATTAAAGATTTCCCCTGACCCACTTCCGGTTATCGTAGGAGGATGAAATTGCACTTGTATAATGATACATCTCTCCGCAGGTAAGGTGGTAATTTGTAGCTCTGAACTCCTAACAGTTGCTCTGCTACAGGTGCTAACGTGGAGTAATGTCTGATAATGGAACCAGTTGAATGCAGAGCGGTCATCAGCTTCCTGTACTTGAAAAGGCGCACACCACGGGAGATGTTTGATGAGATGAAAGGGACTTATGGGGAGGACGCCCCATCGTATGATGTAGTCAAGCACTGGCATCCCCAGTTCAAGTGTTGTTGGACTTCGGTGGAAACTGCTCCCATTCCTGAGCAACCACAGTCTCCCATTGATGAAGACACCATCTGGCAAGTGGAGGCCACCATTTTAGAGGATTGCCACATAACTGTTCGCCAACTAGCTGCAGATGTCAAGATCAGTGTGGGCTCTGTAGAAAAGATACCATCCATAACCATTTACACATGGGAAAAGTGTCCACACAGTGGACTCCCCAGCTGCTGACACCTTTCCAGAAGCAGGAATGAGTCACATGCTCACAGGCTCTTTTGGCCACATGTCACGAAACCCATGATGACTTCTTTGCCAGACTAATTACTCAGGATGAAACATGGGACCATCATTATGACCCAGAGACTAAATCCCAGTCCAAGCAATGGAAGCACTCTGTTTCACCACCTCCAAATAAGCACGTGTCCTACTGTCAGCGGGCAAGGTCATGCTCACGGTCTTTTGGGACTTTTCCATTCCACCTTTAGTTGCAGACATGGAACTGTTGCATGTCACATGTCTGTTTACGTTCCAGCACAGCTTGCTGGGAACTTCCGTTGTGTGTATAGCTTTGGCTTTTCACTGTCTCTCTGAGGAGAAGAAAGGGAGACGACATGTTTTCTTTGTCCTGATTTATGCTTAATAAATCTGCAGCTTGTTAGTAGGTTTCCACAAGCCTCACACCTGTTCTGTTTGCGCAGTATGCATCTGCTAATATAGCGTGCTCAGGCTTTTGAAGTCTGAGTCGCTGATTTACGTCGCACCAGAGATCGGGGATCGTCATGGCTGGAAAGGCATGATCCAGCTGGGGGCTAGCCAGCTGGCATCTCAACCCCCGAAGGATGCCAACACACGGAGTAGTGGTGATGGATTTCCTGGTAAAGGGTGCCACAATTACCAGGACATACTATGCTTCACTGCTGCAGAAATTGAGGAAGGCCATCAAAATTGAGGGGAATGGTATGCTGACCAAAGTTGTCCACTTCCTGCAGGATAATGCCCCGGTTCACAACTCGCACGTTTCTCAGACGGAAGCACGGTCCTGTGGCTATGAAGTCCTTCCTCACCCCCCTTATTCTCCTGACCTCACACCATCGGACTTCCACCTCTTTCCAACCATGAAGTTATTTTTGAAGGGCAAGCATTCTAACTCAACCTGCCAACTTCTACAGACGAGGTCTCCACAGCTGCATAAAACAATGGGGGAAGTGTGTGAATCTTGCTGGTAGCTACATAGAGAAGGACTAATTAAGTCCCAGTTAAGTTTGTCTCAGTCCAAGGGAAGTACATCAGGGGAAATCTTTAATGAGCACTCCTCGTATATACACACATCTAAAAGGTTATGGAATGTCCTCTGGGAACCAAAGGAGAAAGGAAAGGTTTTTTACCATGAATTCCTGTTACCATTTTATCTTGGAGGGCATTCCACCCACCACTGTGTATTCCAGCAGACTATGATTATCCTCCTCAGGCTTATACCATTATATACATTTTGATGAAGTAGGGAGGGATTCCTGGGAGAGTTTCTTTCTGGCTTGTTTCATCTCCTGTCTCCTGTTTCTTCAGTTGTTCAGTATTGTGCTTCAGTTATGACCTCTCCTTCAGGTGTTGTTGTTTTTTTTAAATAAAAAAAGATATTATGGCTTCTTTTGTTCTTCTATTCTGGTAGCCCTTCCCAGATTGGGAAGATGATCCACATTTTTGGATCCTGCCTGCTGTCCACAGGGAAATACTATCCTGAAGGTTCTGGAGTGTGCTCCAGGAGTCACAATGAACAGGAATTTACAGGAAAGCCTCCCTTTCTCTACTTCCTCAGCCGCAGGTTTATTTTATACTTTGCATTGATGAAGCAGATGTATGTTCTATTGTAGCAAAAGGAAGGACAAAATAAAAAAAGTTGAAATGTAATAGTAGAGAGGTATTAAGTGGCTAGCTGTTTTTAGTCAAGGTTTAATGGGTCTATCTTGATTGAACACCACTAGTGACTTCCTCCTGCCTCTCAACTCTTTCATTTTCAGCATCTTATTTACTTTGTCTTTTCTTTTGGGAAGGATTCCAGGTCCTGGGGATTGGATGGGGGATCAGTTAATCTCTTCAGTGCTACAATGAAGCAACTGGAGGTCACATGCAGCAGCCCAAACCCAAGATGTAAACTTCAGTGTGGTATCCTGTGGCCACAATGGCTCCCACCATATGAATCTGTATTGCTATGATATCAAGTATTTAAATTCTCCACAACAGGGTTAATCTACAAGTGGAATATTCAACTGCTGCAAGGGACTGCAAGTTTTGCAACATGGTTGTGTTTTTTAGGGGGACGGGAATTGTATATTGGACCTATTTCATCTTACTCTCTCCATAACATGTAAATAATCTCTCTCAGTACCAAAAAGCGTTTTACGGACAACAGGCAAACGGAGACTTAGTTCACTTGAGCCATCAGATCAGCTCGCATTGAGACCACAACTTTCAGGGCTGCAGATACACATAAGTAAAGTACCTGGTAAGTACAAAACGTGTTATCTAAACTAAGTATCGTGTGTGCTTCCAAGGATGCTCCTTATACTGTGCATTATTTGATATGGTTACTGAGGACCCGAATGGGTTGGGTTATGACCCTCATCACTTGACAGTGGCAGGAGAGCAAAGAACTCTGGGAACTCTAATCTTCTCTGTCAGCTAAGTGTTTTTATCTTCAACAACACTTTATTTCTACTTCTTTACTGTTCCCTCCTATATCCTTTCACTTTCTAGTATTGTGTGTATGTCCATTTTCAAACTTTACTCCTTTGTTTTCTTTCCTCCACTGAGGTTAAATAAATTAAAACACACACACACACACACACACACACACACAACCCTCCTGCTTCCCGTTTTGCTTTTGCTTTCCCTTCTCATTTCCTTGTTTCCACTATTTGACCGCAGGCAAGGCATTTTTTATTATTATTACTGATTATTTTGGATCCTTGAAGTGCCAATGGTTTTTCTATCATGCAACCATTGGCCTTCTCAACTGTCCTCTTCCATCACCGGCTCCTTAGCAACGGTTGCCGCCTCGTTCCAGTTGTGCGATTCCTCAGCAGCGTGTTCTGCTTTGCACACAGTTGCCTGTTTATAACAGCTGGTGCTTGGCAAAACATTACATTTCACAAAAGGGTGGGATATAATGCAGTTGCAACAAAAGAATAAGGAGAATGTTGTTTGTGATGATATTATACTCTCAGATTTTTTTCTCTAGAACAAATATTGAAGGCAGGTTGAAAGATTAATAATGAGACAGGGAATGCATCATCAAATTTCTTGCTTCATTTGGTTCTAATTGTCCATTTGAAATATATATATATATTAGACAGAATGCATTAGTAGGTGTGTTTTTAAGTTTGCTTTATTTGCTATGTATAAATATTATTATGTTGCCTTGAATGTCTATTTTGATATGAGTGGAGGAATATAAATGTGAAAAGTTTATTTACACATTAAAAAATATAACATATTCAGAAAATTAGCATGATCTTACTGAAAGTGGTTAAAAGTGTCTTGTATAAAAATAATATGAAATTGCAAGGCTGCAGTCAAGGATTTTTGTTGTTTTTGTTTTTATCTTTCACTTAGTGATTAGTTTGATTGAAGCTGGACATTTAGGTTCATGAAACAGAGTGCATGTTTGTAATATGCCTGTTCACTCTGAACTCACACTTATGAAATCTATGCTTGGGCACATTTCTAGAATGTAGGCAAAGTTATTGATGTTTACCCTTCTCACACACAAAGGAGAGGTAAAGGTAAAGGTACCCCTGCCTGTACGGGCCAGTCTTGACAGACTGTAGGGTTGTGCGCTCATCTCACTCTAGAGGCCGGGAGCCAGCGCTGTCCGCAGACACTTCTGGGTCACGTGGCCAGCGTGACGACGCTGCTCCGGCGAACCAGCACCAGAGCAGCACACGGAAACGCCGTTTACCTTCCCGCTATAAAGCAGTACCTATTTATCTACTTGCACTTAAGGGTGCTTTCGAACTGCTAGGTGGGCAGGAGCTGGGACCGAACGACGGGAGCTCACCCCGCTGCGGGGATTCGAACCGCCGACCATGCGATCGGCAAGTCCTAGGTGCTGAGGTTTTACCCACAGCGCCACCCGCGTCCCCAAAGGAGAGGTACTTGTGCCTTAAGAGGTGGGGTTTTTGCCTTCCTTCTTCTCAGGCCTCTTCAAGCCACTGTGTGGACAGATACCATGGAGTATTGCAGTTATTGAGGTCACTGGCAACTATGTCACAGCCACTAAATGTCAGATAGGAGACCAGATGGATCTAGTCGAGAAAACTATCAAAGGGGGAGGAACCTGGTAGAGAAAATAAGAAGAGACAATGGCTGCAGCAGTGGTTCAGTTCAGAATGACCATTTTGCAGACATGGAGCAATCTATCCCATGTTCTCTCCTCTCTGGATAAATTATCCTGCTATCAGCATTATGAACAGTGTAGACTATCGTCTTGGGACAAACTTGATATGGTGCAGTAGACCAATTCATCCTAGACAGATTATTCAAAGTGCCGATATCATGATAGTAGAAATTATTCAGATGTCCAGGAGAATAAGCCCTCTGGTGGAGATTGTAGTTAATTGAACAGCAAAATTGTTGTTGCTCCTTACGTTTAGTCAGAATTTCCTTTCTTGTAACTTGAATCCATTGATTCGGGACTTATCCTCCAGAGCAGGAGAAAACAAGCTTGCTCCATCTGCGATATGACAGCCCTTTAGATATTTGAGGATGGCTATCATATCTCCTCTCAGTCTCCTCTTTAACTGGCTATATTGCTTTGATATATTCCAATAATCTTGTCACAGTGGATAATCTAGAGAAGAACCTTGCCTATAATTTGTATAATGTAATTCCAACCCCCACCTGTGGAGCCAAAAATGAAAGCCTATACAGGTAGAGAGATAACAGAGACTGAACTGAGGAAGAAGATTTGAAGATGTTTGTTTAATATTTGTAGGCTGGTAGATCTTTTGTGAATATAGTTCACTGGAGAGATCCCCTCTGCTATCATGTTGGTTTTTCAAATTACTTGAGCAATTTTCTATTTTTAATGCAGTTCCATTAGTTAAGGTTCTGTTTGGCGTCTGCTGCTTTGAAAGTTATCAGCTGGATGATTGCCTGAGGGAGCAGAACAGTCTTCACTGCTTTTTGTATACACATCTGTAAATTACACTGAGCTATGGGTTACAACTCAGTTGCTTTGGACTGGTACTATAAATAAGTCAAAGGACAGCTTACCTATCAGGATCCAGCTGACTATAGTAGAAAATCATTTTTCATGTATGGAGAAAACTTATTTGTGTCAACAGTTAACTTTATGTATGAATATTTTTCTCCCCATTGTGCAATGGGAACATATAGTGGCTAACAGAATCAAGCATGATAGCAAAACAGTAGATGCAGGATACGATACGACAGTCCAGGAGGAGAAAGACCAACTTCTAAGTAAGTCTTATACATGCTTAGCATGCTCCCATGTAAAATGGGACACTGTTGAAAATGAACTTTAAGGAGGTAATGCACATTTAACCATAGCCTTTATTTTGACAAGGTATTAACTCCACCCTTTAAAACATTTATATCATTAGGATAATATTGGGGTGAGGAATTTTTGAATCTGATGGGTGGTGGTTGAACCTTTTAGATAAACCACCATGTGCAGTCCCTTCTACAACATGCACAAGATCAGTGGGTATAAGAAAATCTACTGCATCCTGCTGCTAAAATTATGTGTGCACATGGTGCTTACTCCAGCCAACAGAATCTCAAGCACATAGAAGGCACATAGTCCTGATATCACCTGGTGGGGATTTGGTACTGACAGCACTGTGGGAAACTTAAATATTTCCAAGGTAAATTATTAACTGTGCTGCTGAAGGACCACATATTTTGACAGAGAACAAATATACAAGAAAATATGAAATAACATATCCATTAGTCATGCAAATATTACTGTGCAGTTTAAACCTTATTTTATAGATTAAAAACAAATTACTTGGTATCTTGTATTCTTTGCAATTTATTGGTTGTGAACTGTCAGTTGTTAGGCTTTATATTAATAAGCCCTTTTCTGTGTCTGTCTTTGCAGAGAGGGACATAGAACTGGCATTAAAAGGACGGCTTCTGGAAGAATTTCCAGAGAGCAAAGTATCTTTGCCACAATTGGATAGTTCTTCTTACCTTCATGCAAATTCACACAGACTTGCTTGTAAGTAATGATTAGTATACGTGTTGGGATATGGGCTTGATGAGTGAGTAAAATATGGGGTCCTGATTTAGGTAGAGAACAATAGAGTATTAAGACCAGTCAACACACAACCTGCCAGACAAGTGTAGATTAAAGCATTTTATTATTTAGCAAGAAAAATTTGACAAACATCCTCCTCATACTACCAAAGCGTAAACATTTAAAAGGAGAAGACATTTTTACAACTCTGGAGGTGGAACCTCTCAGTCAGAAGAGCTTAAGACATACATTTCATAGTTTCAAAGCTTCTCTAGACCTTGGCTTGATGATGCCAAACTTTTAGTTTTCAAGTTTGGATCTCACCTCAACCAATCAGATTCTGCTGATGGTGCAGAACTGGCTAACCTCTCCTATTTTTATGTCTTCGTCTGCTTGTTAAGACCCTTGCCTCCATCTGATTACTTAACATACCATATTTCATATCCTGTCCAGAAAAATATAACAAACACTTCTAACTTCACTAGATCAATTTGAAATTCATCCTTCCCCCTTTCCAGAAGCATTTAATCACCAGACAAGCTGAATCTTTCAATACCATTCACAAATTTGGTAAATGTAAAAGCCTAAAAGCAGTTAGCAAAGATTACCCACCTGCAGTTTTGTATAGTGGATATGCAGAAAAAAATAAATGTTTTTAGAATGTTTTTTTAATTAAGTAAACAATTTGTTTTGTTTCAGTGGAGGCTGCAATGCAAGAAATATTAGAGTTTAACAAGAATTTACTTCCAAGCCATAGAACAAATCTGCAACAAGCATTGCATCTTGCAAGTTATCAGTTACAACAAAAACAGCTACAACAACATCAAGCCAATGCGCTTGGTAAGGAATGGGTTAATTGTGTACAAATATGGCATTCAGACTCTTTGTTACATTTCCAGTTACCCTGTGAGTATGCTGTTATCATGAATTATTTGATTATTTTAATCAAATTTCTATGCAAATATTTTAAATTACTTACATCTTTTTTCAAAAAAACACCCACTTTAAAGTAACTTTTTTTCTGATTATTTGAACTGGTGTCTTCCTGAATACACCCTTGCATCTCCTTGCAATGTGATTTTTAAAATTTCAAAGTTATTTTTTAAAACAGAGATGAAAAAGTCTTGATTTCTCACTGTATTTTATTCCTCCCATCTCCATTTAAATATTGTCCTATGTCTTAGAACGCTTTACTTTAAAAGACCACCCAGTGCATTCATAATCATGATGATACCTCCCTCTATATCAGTAAGCTTTTCATGGGAAGGGGTGGGGGGTACCCTGTTCTCCAGACTGAATCTGCCTAGTGCGCAGTAGAGTCTTTTCAAGCTTCCAAGAGCTTGATTTTTCTGAGCTTCTTATCCCTCACCAGCTCAACACATCCTTAACACGGATGAGAGGCCATTTACATAGGGAAGGGAGGGGGCAACTGTTGATCCACAGCTTGAGTGAAAGCTTTGTATTTTCATGGCTTGGGGCAGATACATGGATTGGGCTGTGTGTGACAGCATAGTTACAGAAAGACAAACTGTGGCAAGATGCTCAGGCCTACTGCAGCCTTCTCAAGTACTGCTACCATAATAAAGACAAGACACAGCAACACTGAATAGAAGGGCTGTTTCAGTGTTCGTCCAATTCACTCCTATCCATATAGGGAAGGCAAGGGCCAGGGCCAGAGAGACACCATCTCCCCAAGGAACAAGTTCTAGGATGGCACACTTTCTAGCATTCACAGAAAGACCAAAAACCTGCAATGAGATGAGCCAGAGGTGCAGATCTTTGGGGCACTAAACTCATGTGAATAACAAGTGGGGGACACGAGACACAATTTCATTCTGCCAACACTACTTCCTTTTTAGTTTATGGGGTGCCGTATCCAATGGAATGGGTGTTCACCCTGTCGTGAGAAACTAGACAGGAGCAAAGACTTGTGGCAAGTAGGCTGGACTCCCTCAGTTTTTCCTCCTGTCTAGACACAGACACTACATTCCTCCTGGCTTTCCTGACTCAGCTAAGTTTTTTACTAATTTCTGAACCCCCCTTTTTTCTTTAGGTTTTCCTTATCGTCATTTTTGTTTTACAGTTCTTTGTCCGCATGTTGTGGTTTCTTCCACACAAAAAACTTTCTGTTGCTCTGTACGTTTGGTTGTTCTGCTTATTTGCCACCCTTCTTTTATTCCTTAGTTGTTTACTTACATTATTTATAGATAAATTTTCCAGAACGGTTGCCCTTGCCGTGGCGCCAATGGTCATTCAGGCATGGCAGCCCTCTTTCGGTGCACTCTATCTCTTTCCCTCAGCAGCCTCAATGGCTGCCGCCATTTATCTCAGGTCGTAACTGTATTTATTTATTTCGTTGGTGTGTGTGTGTGTGTGGTTGTGTCCTACTTGTGTGACTGGTAGTGTGGCGTTTGCGTTCTCCTGCCCTGATTTAAAAATGGCTTGGCCACCTCCTCCTGGTTTGCTTTTTTTTACACCGACAATGGAGTGAGTGTTCCTATTATGTCCCTGCCTGACTGCTTCTATTTGCCTTTGATATTGAGCCCTGACTGCCTCCTGGTTCACTTTGGAGGCGACAGAGTGCCTGCCCCTCATCCTTATCCTCCTGGTTGGCAGCTGTGACAAGGAGAGTGTGTGTAGCTGCTGTTTTCCTCCACTCTCAGTCCACGGTGTGGCAAACAGTGTGTGGTTTGGCATAAGGCTTTTGCCTGCCTCTTTTCTCCTGATCCATGGAGTGCAAACCTTTGGGGCTGAATTTCTATAATCTTCCTCTTAACGATAAGAACAACAAACATTATCTTCCCAAAACAGGAGATGTAGAACACCATTGCTGTTCATTACTGTAGCTGGACACCTGAAATGCTAACCAGAATATATGGCTAGATGTCACACTTTTTTTTTCCATTTAAAAAAGCTATTATTTTTTACTTTCTTAGGCTTGCTTTTCATTAGAATTATTGGATTGTTCTGTCTCTCATACAAACTGTTTTGTGTTTTAATTTTCAGTTGACAAGTTCAGAAATATGCCATTATTTCCCCCACCACCACCTGGGACAGCTAGGTTCCAGGACTATACTATACCTGTTCAAAAATCAGGTAACCTATAAAGTTGGCTGTATAAAAAAAATATTCCTAATTTGGGGGGGGGGGGAGTGTATCTCATTCATACTGTAGGTTGCATTTGTTCTAGTAAAAACTATGTTTGATAGTAATGTTCCAAGGGAAAGGCATGTTCAAGGTGTTATACAAACAATTACAACAGAACTTAATTCATAAAATCTCTGAACAAAATCCTAGCATTCCTAGCTAAAAATATACTCCTTAAGTGTCAAAAGTCAGGGTAAAGTAGTGGATCATGGCATGCTGTACAATTAAGGTACCAGACACACCTTTGTGGGGACGGAGTCCCGCAATTTGTGGACCACCACAGAGAATGCCTTCTCCTGGGCAAGCACCTCATGAGGGTTTGTAGGGAAAGAAGCGGTCTTTCAACTACTATTTGGGGCCTGAGTCATTTAGGGCTTTAAACACTAATGTGAGCACTTTAAATCAACCCAGGAAACAAGCTGGTTCACAGTGCAGCTGTTTTAATACATGGGCTATACGAGATCTAAATGAAACCAGTCAGTAATTTTGCTGCTACATTTTAGACCACTTAAAGTTTCCAAGTCATATTCAAGGGCAACCTCATGTAGAATGCTTTGCAATAATCCAATCTGCAAGTTACCGTGTTAGCCAATTGCCCTGTTAAATTTCTTGTCCCATCTGCCTCAGAAACAAATAAGGGAGGGAAATCATTTGACTCGATAAAGAAGATTCTCTTTGCTTTCGATCAGTGCTTCCCAGCTTTTTTTTGGCCATGCCCCACCTAAGCATCTCTAAAATCCTGATTCCCACCCCACCCTGTGACACATACCGGTAATTCTTATTATTCCAAAAGTATACTCCTATTCACATGGAGGAAGCCTAAAAGGCCATTAGCTTGGTCTAAACAAGCTTCAAAATTGCCCCCCTGTGAGGCGTGTGCGCCACTTTGGGAACCACAGCTTTAGATTTATTAGGGAATGGCAGGCTGTATCTCTGTAGTCTACTTTATACATTTATGCATTCATAGTCTCTCTCACCCTGTAGTCACCAAAAAACGTAAAGTATTGTTATATAAACTTTTTCCATAAAAGTGATTATAATTATTTTTGATCAGTTACAAAGACATTCCTGTATTCAAAACAACAATGTATTTTAAGTCAAACACAGTATTATATTATGTTTTTATATATTTCCTATGCAGGATGGGAAACAAACCAGTTACCACAAAAAGACTACTTCCAAAAGCTTGCATTATTAAAACGAAGGATTTTGGGGCCAGAGATGAAAGGTAACGAATCTCAGTGGAAAAGGGTTCTATATTCACTTTGGATTTAAGAGGGCAGGTTATCTTTTAAAATTCCTACAAAATGTCAGGGGAGGAGAAAATGTCTTTGTGTGGGTTGGCAGAATGGAAACCTCATCCCACTGAAAGGCAAGGAATTTATGGCTGCTGCAATTTCTATACCACACTTTGCAGGACAGTTTACAATATAAAAACACCAAAATACATAACATAGTAAGAAACAGAAACAATACCTCCACCTACTTTAAAAGGCCATAGAGTGTTTAGTTAGCTAAAGGCTGTGCAAAATGCCTGTGCAAAATGAAGGCTCCTCAGATGATGATCCTGTTAGATTTGTAAGTCAGTTGGCCCATAACCTGTTAGACTTAGACCACCTCACACTCCTGCCAAACTGCTGCTGAATCTACTACACATACATATATTCCTTAGAGAAAGGGAGGGTGGATGAGGCATGCTTTAGGCTTGGACTGTCTCTAACCACCCACTTGCAGCTGATGCCATATCTAAATAAAATCCAGACATGGGGGATGGGCTGCTCAATACATGGCCCAAGCACATTTTTCTCCTAATTACACAAACTGATTGCAGGATCTAGGCCAGTTCATATGGGGAGAGGTGATCCTTGAGGTATTGCAGTCCTGAGCCATTTAATACTTTATAGGTCAAAACCAGCATTTTGAATTTAGAAACTAATGGGTAGCCAGTGCAGTCAGGCCAGGATTGGCGCTATATACTCAACCTGCCTTTCCCTGGTGAGCAACCTGGCCACTGAATTCTGCACCAGCTGAAGTTTCTCCTCTGTCTTCAGAGGCGGCCCCATATATAACACATTGCAATAATCTAACCTAGATGTTACCAGAACATAAATGACAAGTGGCGCTGCATTGGCAACATATGAAAATATTAGTTTTCATGTTATGGCAAGTCAATTTAATACTATAAAAACTAACCCTTTCAAGTATACAGATAAAATTAATAAATATCAGGTAGACTTTCAAATGGTATGATAAAGTAATGTGGATTTTATTTTGTTTTGTTTTACTAGGGGGAGGTCCTTCATCAGTCACTCAGGGAGATGTTCAAGATCAAGTAGAGGTAAGTAACTATAGCTTACCCTAGAAAAATTAACATTTGTGAGATTAAGCCGGAGGACATTCCTTGGTAGGGATGACTCTTCCTATTGGGTCCTAAGAGTCTTTTCATCTTCTCTCCAAGAGGAGGAGTCCTTCCCATCAGACTGACCCTGCCTGCAGTCAATGAATCTGAAACTGATGAAACACAGATATTTTAGAGTTACAGTGGTGCCTCGCAAGACGAAAATAATCCGTTCCGCAAGTCTCTTCGTCTAGCGGTTTTTCCGTCTTGCGAAGCAACCCTATTAGCGGATTAGCGCTATTAGCGGCTTAGCGGCTATTAAAGGCTTAGCGGCTTAGCGGCTAAAAGGCTATTAGCGGCTTAGAAAAAGGGGGGGGGAAGCGAAAAAAAACCGCAAGACTTGCAAGACGTTTTCGTCTTGCGAAGCAAGCCCATAGGGAAAATCGTCTTGCGAAGCAGCTCAAAAACGGAAAACCCTTTCGTCTAGCGGGTTTTCCGTCTTGCGAGGCATTCGTCTTGCGGGGCACCACTGTATCCTGTTAACAAAGCATTCAGTTCACAACTGCAGCAGAGCATTCAGTTCACAACTGCAGCAGGCAACAGATAGCAAAATGAGATTTGCATATAGTAATCTAAAATGTAATCTTAAATATAGGTGGATTAACTCAGTTGTAAGTACCCTGAATAATTGTGTTTCATTTTTTAGGACCCAATTGTTATTTCTGGAAAAGGATGCAACCCCTACAGAAAAGAAACCACCTTCCCAGTCATAAAGCAAAGTTCAAAACATAAATGACCTTATTATTGTGTTTTTAGAGACTGAGTCAGTGATGCAGCCATCTTATAAAATTCATCTTTGCTGAACTGTGAAAAGGAAACATGAAAACCTATGCTGTTGTATGAATTTGTTTTGAGAACTTAATTGTACTAGAACAGCAGTTAAAATATATGATACCTGAACCACCAATGCTCTAATAGTAGTAATTTTTTAAAATTGTTTAGCAGATCATAACTAGGTTATTTGTGACCAAAGCTACGTACATTTTTATCTGGCTATGGTACAACCAACCCCATAATCAGATGTTTGAAACCAACCAGATCCTTCGCCCTAGAATTGATCACAAAACACAACTAGATGTTAGAAGTCATATGACACCAACAGGGAGTGAGTATTGTGGTAATTCATGTTAGCTAAAGTACAGAAATTTGCACTATACACATGGTTAGGTAGCCTAGTTCTCACTCAGTTTCAAGTATGCTAAGTAGTAGTCTTGGTTCTTTGGATATGGGGGATAGCATCAGCAATATTGGATTTTATGTTCCTGAAAAATAAAGGTAGCTTCTCCTCCACCCCATAACAGTGGTGGGAAACCTCTGGTGAATAGGCCTAATTAGGTCTGCCAGACCATTTTGTGCATACTACACCCAACTTTCCCTGGCTTGACATCAACTATGGTGTCAGATGTGATAAAGTTCAAGGTACAGTTAAAAGGAAAAATCAGGACTACACTCTTAAGTATGCTCCCAGTTTTTCCTTTATATCAAATAGCTATGCTTGACTGCCTGGCATTTGAATGCTCAGTTTCAACTCAGTGATTATTTCTACCTTCAACACTCACAAAGATCATCTCACCCCCTTGTGAAATGTTTCTAAAGGGAGTTATTCTTCAATGTCCTTCAGTGGCTAATCATTTCCCCTCCTGCCTGCAGGAGTTTCCCTTCAAACCACTATAACAAGTCTCCCTCAAAGTTATGTATTTTAAAGTTCTTTCTCTTATGGCAGTTAGCTCAGCTCAAAGATTTTCTGACCTGGGAGCCTTATCTGTAGCTAAACATATGAGCACATTTCATAAAGATAGGGCAGTTCTGAGTATGGACCCATCACTTTTGTCTAAGGTTTGTCAAAGCTGCATGTTCAGCAGGAGGTGAACTTCTGCCCAAATCCTAGGCATCCGTTAGAAAAGGCTTGGCTCTCATTAGATGTTCACAGAACAGTGAATGTATACCGTACATAAACAGAACAAAGGGCATTAAGTCCACTGAATCCCAGTTCAAATCCTTTCACCCTTCCACAATGGGTAAAAAGTGTCTGCAGCCACACTCTCTAGAGATGGATCAGGGCATACATTGATATGGCCTATGAGTTGCTTAAGCCTCCCAGATCAACAAATCTGGCAGCGCATTCCACAAGATCAGTGGCAACAGTGGCCGCCTTTTCTTCTAATGTCTCTTAAGTAGAAATCATTAGAGCAGCAACTGGTCTGTTCCTAGCACTATTATGAGGCACTATAAGATGGGCATGTTTGCTTCAGCAGAGACCACCTTTCGTCCTGCATCAGGTCCTGCCTCATTACTTCTGTTGCAGCTGGGACCCACCCTAATTGGGAAAGCCATGGTATGTCCCAACCCAGTGATTGCACGATGACCGACTAGTATGAGTGGTACTCACCTGAAGAGTAGATTTGTGAGGTCATCACTGGGGCCTCTCACTAATATGGGCTGCAACTGAAATTCTTCCTATATAGCACAATGTTATGGTTATTATATTTTGAGTTAAGCTATGGTTGATATTATTGATATTGTTGGGAAGTGTGCTTTTTTGCTTGTTTTTTCCTTACTTGTAATGTGAGAGTCTGATGACGGTACAAGCTTGGCAAGTCTGCAAACTGGGAGCCCACCCACTTCCCAGAGCTGTTCATTCCTGCCTTCGACACCAGAGGGAGTCATAGCCCAACACAGTGAACGCATGGTGACCTCACAAATCTACTCATGTGAGTACCAATCATACATTTTCTTTCACTGTGCTTAGAATGCACTCCTGACTTTTCTTTTAAAATTGTTTTATGCTATTATGATTGGTATTTTTATTATTCTTACTGTTGTTATTAATTTTTTTTAACCACCCCTCATCTGAAGAGCACAGGGGAGTTCACTACATAATTATGAACTGCTTTGGGACCCAAGAGCCCACAGATATGCTATTTATTCAGAATAAATAAATACTTGCCCCAAAGCAAGTCCAAGTTCTATAGTGATTACTCCCAGCATTAATTCTGCAGCATTAATTCACCAAACAAGTAAATATGGCTTCAATCTTAAGCCCCATCTGGGAGTAGCAGGGGTGAGTAGGGCGTACTCAGAGTAACCAGGATGAAAGGTGGAGGCAGAGACAGATTTTCCTGTAGCAGCTCTAGGCCATCACAGGACAGAGGCCCAGAATGGGTTCACTGCCAGTAGCCAGACTAGTTTAGGAACCAGCAGGTCCCTGAGTGGTCCATTTCCACCCCCACCCCCAAAACACCCTGCTACAGGGCTTTACTGGCTAATAGAGCACTAGTGGTAGGTTCCACTTGCCCTGCCTTTGGCATGTGCAGTGAGGACCTCTGGATTCACATCCCATGTCACACACCCCAGCATGGTGGATCAGGGCATAGGATTGCACTTCAAATGTCAGTTTCCTGCAGCAGTTGGAAAGAAGTATGGCATAGCAGTTTCCAGCAGCTCGAGTCTTCTTTGGTAGGAGATAACCACATTCAAACCTTGCTCAGCCATTTAGCTTCCTCTCAGCCAATAGCTACTTTGTAAGTGAGTGTGAGGTTAACCTCTTTCTGAGCTAATTTTAAGTGTTAGAAGAAAAGGAAACCACATAGAAAATTATTAACAGTTTAAATGCAATATGTTACTCAGAAGTTGTGGGTGATGGGGAGGAAACCAGTAGAAAGTCCCTGTAAGAGTATGTTTGAACACAGCTGGTTCAAACTGCAGTTAATTACATTGGACTGAAAACATCAAATCCAGGCTTGTGATGTGAATGTCTTAACCCACATGTGTGTCTACCACTCATGTATTTCCTCGACATACAGCTCCGAGAGGGGTAGGACCCTTTGCATGGTAACACTACATGTGTATGTTAAAAATGTGTGTGGCTTTAATTCTTATGCTAAATAACTTGCACACCAGGAATTAGAAAAAGATTGGTTTATTACACTGAACTAAAGAGACTGTGTGTTTGGATGCTGCTTCAGAAATCAATATGACTATTCCTTTGGGGTTTAAGTACAGTTTGTCTCCCACTATGTTCTATGAAGGGACGCGGGTGCCGCTGTGGGTTAAACCAGAGCCTAGGACTTGCCAATCAGAAGGTCGGCGGTTTGAATCCCTGTGATGGGGTGAGCTCCCATTGCTTGGTCCCAGCTCCTGCCAACCTACAGTTTGAAAGCACGTCAAAGTGCAAGTAGATAAATAGGTACCGCTCCTGCGGGAAGGTAAACGGCGATTCCGTGCACTGCTCTGGTTCGTCAGAAGCGGCTTAGTCATGCTGGCCACATGATCCGGAAACTGTATGCCAGCTCCCTTGGCCAATAAAGCGAGATGAGTGCTGCAACCCTAGAGTCGGTCATGACTCGACCAAATGGTATGGGGTCCCTTTACCTTTACGTTCTATGAAGAGGACTTCCCGAGTGAGGTAATAATGTAACACTCAAGTGTTTTGTACCATTGTTTACTTATTCCTGCTAGTTTGATATGACCTTAATTTTGGGGGAAACTCAACTTTATCTCTACAGTTCCTGAAAGCAATCTTCATTGTCTATTTGAAGTCTGCTTCCTGCGAGAAGGAGGTTGTTTACCAATCCTTGTATTGCCAGGTAGATCTAGGTCTCTGATATTTTCTACAACTCTTAGGGGTCAGGCTGTTAGCTGGTCACTCAGAGGTCACCTTTGAGATAAGAGCTTGTACTAGGGTCACCGCTAGTAACAAGTCTAGACTGGGCCCCATTGTTACACAAGAAACTCTTGCCACAGAAGATACTGCAAGAGTGAAATTTGGTATCACTTTTCCAGGACACAACAATGCACATAGACACCATGGGGCTATAGTTATGTCAAAAAAGTTATGTCAAAAAACATTGCATTTACTTGGAAGTAATCCCTGTGAAAATTAATGGGAGTCATTTCCAAAGGGTGATGCAGCCTCTAAGCATGTTCATTCAGAAGCTTCTGAGATTAACCTTTTCAATGCATGTACTGCCAGGGTTGTAGGCAGCCATTAATACCCTCCCCTTCTGTAGCCAGTTTTGGCATGTCCAACCTTGAGGGCACCTTCACTCAAAGAACCATTGGGCTTGTAAGTTATTTTTCTTTTGAGTGCAGAGATGCTCTCCAGGCCTCACTATGATTGCTTGACAAGTTTCTGATTTGATCTGATTAGGGCCATTGATAAATTGCCTCATATGTCCAGAGTACTCAAAGCTGTGTTTTTTTGTCCCACTTCTTGTCATTCTTATGTTGATTGTGGGTGGCTGCATATTAGTCATGTAAACAGGTGGAGGGTGTGTGCCTGGTTGAGAGCAAAATGCCCTAATCCAGCTGCAATCCTGCCTTCAAGCTTAGAGAAATCTCACCTGAGAACATATTCACTCCAAGTAAAATACCCTTTACAGGTAAGCCCAATTTTTCTCTCTCTAGTGTTAAATGAAGATTAGATTATTGTTACTGTATAACTAAAACCAGAATGCTTCTCCTCAACATTTTGATTGTAGTATTTATTTGCAATACTTTATCTTTTAGAGATTCTTAGGTCCAGTTAGTATGTTTAGAATTAAATTTCAAAGCTGCTTCTCAACCAAAACTTTTGTATTATGTACATAGTAATAGTTAGGGCTGATCTATTTTGTGTTCAGGTAAGTTATTTGTAGTAGATATCTCAAATTGTTTTTACCTCAATCTGACAGGTTTCTTCAAGGGGTACTAAGTTACAAAGCGCAGAAAGGAAATTCAGGTGTGATGTTTTAAAAGATTTTTTATTTAATAAATAACTTCCATGATAGCACTGTAAAAAGTGAACATTTGTTAAAATAAAAGGCACTTAAAATAAGAATGTGGATAGTATAGAACACATGACAGAATGGGCAGCGGCAAATATACATGGCACATCAAACAATGTTATCTCAGAACTGAAAGTCATGTTACATGACAATTGTGCAGTCTTAGCTACAATATGAAGGTAAATTTACAGCCAAGACTGCAAAAAGTTGTTTTTACAACAATCATCTTACACAAAATGAAATCAAATACATTAAAGAAAAAGGTGACAAAGCACCAGGCTTTAACCTAAGCAAAAACATTAGAAAAACCACCACCATCGATGAATTAAGGCCCTTATGCATTCAGAAGATGTATTGGCAGACTTTTTTTCTGTACCAAAGTCAGGATTTGAGTTTACAAAGTAAAATTCTTTTTCGGTCACCATGCAGCAATGTTATAAAAAAAGAATGGCACAATATTAAAGCTATTATTCTGAATCTATTTTTTCTTCCTATTTCTTATACATCACCCCTGACAGTTTAAAATGCATCTGTACATATTAAATTGTCTTTTACATCATGATTTCTGTCTCATTAAACTTACTGCATCAAGTAAGGTTAAATCTTGCGAAAAGTCCATTATTCACAAGCTAAAGTTAATTTTGTAATTTACAAAGAATTATTTGGCTTGCATTTTAACTGTGCAAACCAAAGCCCTGATGTGCCTATAAAGAAAAAGAAAAACTGGTCTAATATTAATACTTAATGGCTAGGCAGAACCCTTATACTGGTTACTTTAGCCATTTCACTCCAGATACAGGTCAGAAAGGCACCATGTGACCTTAGTTAAGGAGGCTATGCAGTGTCAAGTTTTCTTATCAATCTCCTGGCACTATTTGCAATAAGGAAAAAAAAACTTCAAAAAATAAAAACATACTGTACAGTTTCAAAACCTGCATAGAAAACAAACCTATACGTAATGTATTGAATTAGTAAATTCATTGCAATATTGCTCTAAAGCTTTGTTACCGTGACTACAAAACTGCTACATTGCATACAGTGTTGTGGAGTTAGAAAGCAGTTGTAGAATTAGAAAGCAGTTTTCATTTCCCCTCATATTTAGGATTCACCACGGTTGTCACTGCACTCTTGTAGATAGGATTCTCGCCCTAGAAGAAAAAGAATTATTAATATCACAAATGACAAAAGAAATCTTACTGTAAAAGTATTTGAAGCAGCTTATTTACTGGAAGCAATTCCACACACCGTCAAACCAATCCAGAAATCCATGTGCATGTTTGACCCTCAACTCTTGCAAAGGATTACTGGATTGCAACAGGCAAGTACATAAAAAAATAGCTAAAGATCATCTAGCAGCTTTAGCTTTTATGAAGCATCATGCCTTGTATACTTCTTTAAAGAATATGTAAGAGGGTTAACACATATGGATGGCAAATCGATAGAAACCTACACCTGCTACTGTAGTGAAAGCTATGAAGGCTTTAGGCACATGCTTTTTAAGGACAGGTGCTTTAAGCATTTCATATCTTTCCTCTACAAAAAAGGTACATGGGATTGTTCCTGGAAAATGGGTTGCATTTGTACCAATGCAAAACAAAATGGTGGTATCAGGATACTCAAACTGATTGCAACCTTATTATTCACAGAGCCTTAAGAGAATGGCCAAACAGAGACTATGATAATTTGACATACAGAAACCTGTAGCTAATAAAGGCCAATGTTTGTCATAATTTTCATTTATAACAAGAATTGCTCATACATTTTATTCTATGAGACACACAAAAACATAGCTCAATCGTGACCATAGCCATTCACATCTTTAGTTACTCAAGGACAGTGCTATCGAAGTGAGTGAACTGGGGGGGCTTACCACTGGCAACCCCTGTGCTACGGATAATGTTTCCACACCATTAGAAAGCCTATTATAAGCAGCTTTGAATTGAATTCATAATTTCTGCATGTCTTGGTGTGCCTGCCAAATGGTCCTTTATATAAGCATGCAACACATCCATACACATGCATGCTCTGGAATTATTGTTTATGCAGTATTCAGAATGTTTTAAACTTGGTGGAGAGAGAGGGGGCACATGAAAAAAAAACAAGAGTAAAACTATTATGTGCTTCCAATGTAGCAGTTTATATGCCACACTTAACTATACCAAAGCTTAGTGCAAAACCATAAGTGTGTGAACTTCCGGAGAGGACATGGTGGGCAAAGCAGGCCAACAAGCAACCTAACTAAACATTCCATTTGCAAGGACAAGATAGAGGCAATTCTGTTGTCTGCCTGCTTTGCTGCCTCAAAAAGGCAAAGCAAGAACTCATGGCCATTTTGAGAGCTCTTGTATCAACAATTTATGCCTCTTAACTAGCATTTTTTTCCTGTGACGTGAAAATAAGAGGAAGGAAAGACTGTCCAAGGAAAATTAGCAGGAATTTGATAGCAGAGCATTCAGAAATATCTTAGCTGGTTTCCTGGGAGCTATTATGCCTCTGGTACCCACTTGTGCAGATACTGGAAGAGTGGCAAACAGCATACGGGTGGAAATACAGGACAAAGCCAGCACAGCCTCATGATGGCTTCATATTACAAAGGAAAAGAGAGAGAGAGAGAGATCAAAAGCACCACTTCTACAGTCTCGTGTGAAGAGGGAACTACAAGGTCCTCTAGTGGAGAGATCCGTGGTGCTACATGACAAGACTGAAGTACTCTACAGTATGGGTTCCCCTTTGCATATTACTTGGAAGCCTCTAACTTCTCTTTCACGGCTTTCTAGGCAAAATTCACTTCCTGTAAAAATTGGCCTTCCTTTACTAAGCTGGAAGGATGGCTGAAAGATTTCTACTACTTGGTTTATAAAGTGAGTTAGAAGCTGAGAAGTCACAAGTTTTAAGTGTGAGATTACCAACAGAAAAAGTAGGGGGAAAGGAAAAGGAAGATGTTGTATAAGTCAAAGCCAACAGCAGGATCACTCAACATGATATTTAACTTAAAAAGCCAGCTAAAACTGGGCAAAATTTAGTCTTTATGGAGCTGCATTCAATGAACTTTTACTCCGAGTGGGCCCAAGTTAGTCAGGGCCATTAATTTCAATGGGTATACTCTTGAGCAGAATTTAGCTGAGTACAATCCATGGATTTTAATGAAAATGCATTAAGCAGGGTGGTTAACTAAGTCCTAATACTTCTTGTATTTGACTAATATGCCCATATGTCAATTTGGCCAGCTCCAGAGGGCACTAATCCTGGTCATTTGGCCCATCCCAAAGCCCTAAGTAGTACTGCTATTCTCAATTTTCAAGGGAACAGATTCCTGCAGGCAGTGCAAGAAAATTCTATTTACCTGCCCCACTTTTCAGTGCACCTTGCCTGAGAGCCACCAACGTCCTGGAGCTGGCACTGCACATATGCTGAGGCAAGTTGTTCAGATCTAACTAAGAAGGGGACAGGGCCCTAAAGTGCAACCCTAACTATAGTCTGGTCATTATTTCCCCTCATTTAAGCTCCACTGCATAATTCATAAAAAAGCAGCTGGCAAGATTGGTAAGAGTGATTAGTTAATGGCACATACAGCAGACTTTGAAGAAAGTGACATGCACAGAAAAAGAAATGGAAAGGAAAATACGAACGGAAACTTAGAGACCAGCTTTACGTCCATAGTTTGGATTCTTGAAATTATTAATAGGACTCTTGTATATAGGATTTTCTTGCTGAAGGTAGAAAAATGGTCAATGTGGAATGCAGAATTTCAGTGTACCAGTTTCCAAATAAGGTTTTCAACAATTCTTTCAAATATGACATTTCAATAATATATAACGTATTGACTCTTAACAGAAACTGTATAGCTCAATTACATTGTAGCTAAGACCCAGGGAATACTTGTGAATATCAAGAGTAACTTAATGTGACCATTGTTAGTTCAAATGCTTGGTCTCCATCTAAAATTCCTGGGTGGCACAATGAAAGCCTCAAAGCCAGCCACGAGATGATACATTTATCTGTCAAAGTTATCCAGTCCAAAGACCACTAGTTTTTATTGCAAAGTTTAGGTAGAAGATCCAGAGAAACAATAAGCCAGGCAGTCTGGGCTTTATTCTAGAGCAGTGGTTCCCAATTAGCTAAGTACTGCAGACCTCCCGTTTTTCAAAAGCCAAGCCATGGACCCCGTAATTTTGATTTCTCTATGGTAATTTTTGTTATGTGAATTGTGCTGTGGACCCCTTGGGTGGATTACACGGACAACTAACTGGGAACCACTGTCCTAGAGGGATGGATGTCTAAAATATACAAAAGAACATTTGCTGTATTCTCCAGCTGCTGTGTATAGCTATCACTCACCGTATCCCACTTTGCATTCATCTTTTCCTTCTCAAATTTTGCAAATTCTCTCCTGTCATGAATGATCATAAGTAGCTTCCAAATCAGCAATAAAGCAAGACCAATAAGAACAATTCCAGCAACCACACCAGCAACGATGGGAATGATATCGGGACCTGTCGGGCATTCTGGGGAGAAAAGCAATCGAAGCACAGTCAAGCATGATGTAAATCAACAATGTGGAAACAGGAAATAGATGTCTGGCCAAAACAAATTCTGAATTCCTGCTGCCTTTAAGAGTTTAATTTTTACAGATAGAACAGTTTTTAAATTATCTAGAAACGTAAAGCTTAATACTTTGTATTTTGATAGTAATAAATAAATAAATAAATGTATGATAATATATTGTTAAGCACTTTCTTATTTTTGCTTTGTTTTACTTTACCTTTTCTCCACCCTTTTCACTTTATTTCCCTGCTGAAAGCCAACAATATCCATGTGGGAAACAAAACATACCTGGGGTCTTTACCACGTGGACAATGGCATTGTTGTTTGAATCAACTGAGTAGGTGAAATAGAACCAGCAGTCATCAATATCCTTCTCTTTGCAATGAGACTGTGCTTTATATTGTCCAGGCTGTGGCAACTTCTCTCTATGGTCTACTGGTATCAAGCTAAAATGTGAACACTCTTCTTCACAGGTGTCCTTCTTTCCTCCTCTGTTAAAAGCTTTGCACTGCACACAGTCCCTAATGCAAGTCAGATACAAGATACATCAGTATAAAATTAGTGTGGCAGTTTTGTGTTCTTCCTGCATGCTAAAGTTAAACAGAGGTTGAGTTCCAGTCCTCTTTAATTTTCAAACACAGCTGAAATGGAACTGCAGACACATTTCCCTACCACTGCATTGGCTGCATCTTCCTTTTTCTTTTCAATACAGCCTCTTTGATCCATTAAGAGAGCATCCAGAAGCCTGCTTAGCAGGGCCTACATCACACTGCACTCAGTGGAATAAGAGAGAAAGGGAGGTGGACAAGGATCATCCCTGAGCCTGCTCCAGCTGGACTTTCCCCACAGAACCATCTTCCATCATGCAGCCTACTGAAATAATTTCAGGAGAGGCAGGCGAACAGGAAAATATCAGTGCCTGCTCCAACTGGACTGTCACCTCCCCCACATCCTGGGTTTTCTGCCACCAAGTAAGTACTATATGGAAAGGATCCTGATGAACTATTGT